TAAATAAAAGTCAAAACAGCGCTAAATTTGGCTGAATTATAAAAGGCAGAAGTGGTAAAAGGAAGAGTCGTCTCTTCTTGGTGAGCCGAGCCGAATGATGTGGCTCACTGAAAAGAGCCGGCATTCCCATCACTAAAGGAGATATAGCGCTGCTCAAGGGGACGTATTATAACCTCTTGTCTTGTAAAAGCAACAATAGCTGACGTGTGCATGTGTCTCTTGTCACGTGACAATCACCACCACCCGCTCCTGGCAAGAAAACCATGTTCAGCGTCAGAGAAAACTTAGAAATAGCACCTTTAAAGCCTGTAAAATCTTATTCCTCTGCGCCATAGAGCTCTAGTTCTGTCCTCTTTTGTATAGTTTATACAGGACAATAAAAGCAAAGGCAAAAAAAATCTAACATTTAGCATCAGAGGCAAGGTAGGGAAGTTGGTAAGTATTGAGAGAAGCTGGTTGGCTTTGCTCTGAATACAAAAAAAAAAAAAGAAAAAACAATTGGTCAAAAGATTTCAACACACCTACCAAAAGCATCAAGGTGTTGCTGTAATACACTGAAAATGTGGAGGAAGTCTCACACATATTGTGCCAGTCTTGACCTGCTGGCAAAATAAAGATAAAAAAAAAAAGAGGAAACACCCATAATTAAGACTTAAGTACATTTTTTATTGTAATTGTAAAACATCAACATTGTTTCTTTCAAGACTAGACAAAATATCTTAAAACATGAAAACATCTGAAGCGTATTTGGGTCATAAAAGTTTAATACACATACTCATTCTAGGACAAACCTAATAATTTTATGTGCATGTATAAAATGTATATAAACGCCATGACAGTCAGAAATGTGAGTCCTTTTTGGGTCACTCAGTCACTGCCATTTCCCTGCTGTCTCCCCTCCATACTTACAGCGTTTTCTAATCCCATCCCTGCCCACAATATGACCTTTAATACACTAACACTCTGTCCCGTCAGTTCCCGTCGGTGCTGTTCAAGGGCCGCGTGACGCTGTGCGAGGCCCTGTGCTGCGAGGTGCTCAAGTGCTGCGTCTCCAAGCTGGGGTCCCTGCGGGCCGAGGCATCTGCCCTGCTCTACCTGCTGATGAGGAACAACTTCGAGTACACCAAGAGGAAGACCTTCCTGCGCACACACCTGCAGGTAAAAGTGTTGGTTTTGTGGGGCAGAGGGAGCGTTGGAACATGACAGCCCTCTAAACACCTGGCCTCTGTTCATGCACGTTAGCATGAGACCAACCTCAGTCCTTATTCAACCTGATGTTCATCTTTGACCTTTTAGCTATTTTCCCAATACTTCAGCTGCTTTCATAACAGAGGTGAAGAATGTAAAGAGGGTGTTTAAACAGTTTAAACACAGATGGCCCGCTGAGTTTCCCAGTTTCTGGCTTCTGCTAGAACAGTGGCAGAGAGCTGTCCAGATTTCCATTAGCTCTTGCTGAATGTCAATACATGTACTACTGTGTCTAGCTTGTTTTCCCTTCTTATTTTCCTCTCCTTTCTGTCCACCCCTGCACCTCATCATCCCCTCGCTTCTCCCTCTCTCCAGATCATCATTGCAGTGAGCCAGCTGATCTCCGACGTGGCGCTGACTGGCAGCTCCCGCTTCCAGGAGTCTCTCTCTATCATCAACAACTTTGCAAATAGTGACAAGGCCATGAAGGTACGTTGGAGGTCAACACTCTTACAACAACAGCTCTGAATCCCATATAAAGCACCAAAGTGATAAATTCAAGAACATAAAGTGGCTGATTTTAGGTCCAATACACACATACATGTGTTTATTCTGAGATGAATCACTGGTGACAGTTATTCTAGTCAGCTGTGCATCTTCAGTAAAATGTGACAGGGCATTGGTTTCTATTCACATAAATGGTAATATGCCATCATACATCTGTTCCTCATTAAACTGGTTCCTTAGTCATTATCCGACCAGTTTAAGTGATTGGCTAATGCTTGAAGTCCCGTGTGCAAAAACTAATTTGTGAAAAACTGCTTTTAGTTTCTGTGCTGCAATCACTTGGGACATTTTACAAAACACATTAAAACGAAAGACAGTTGCACTTGTACTTCTCCGCTCTTGAATGTTACATTTATCTGAAGTTACCATGTGTATTTATTCCGTTTTAGTCATTGAAAATGAGGGCATGATGCTAATGATTTTTCATGATTTAAATAAAGGTTAAATGAATCCTCTCTTCAGACCGGCCACTGGATTCCAATTCTAAATCACTCTGTTCCCCGTGTGAGATTAAATCTGTAGCGCTGCTTGTTATCGTTTGTTTAGACTGTAAATATGTAGGAGGTGAAGATAACAAATATAAAACACCACAAAAGTGTAAAATATGGGACCTTTAAGTCATAATATATTTATGATAAGACTTTGTGTCGCTGGAAGTGTCAAATATAAATATTTCCCAGCATACAGCAGAATTATTGGTTGCAGCTGTCTCTAGATTATCACCTCAAAGTCTCTTGCACTTATATTAGATAAAGCCATCAGTCGTTCACCCAGCGTCACTTGCAGTTTAACCACATTCATGATTTTTATCTAGTTATATAATAGTAATGGAAGTTTGGAAGCACAATAATACCACTAATAATGCATAAAATAAGACTTGTGCAGAGGAGTCTGTTGCCACAATGCATCCTGGGAGGCTTCCCTACAAGACTGCCTCATGCAACTTAATCAGCGCTCATCCAATCAAATGAGTATCATATGAATTTGATTCTCTTCATGTTGTCATTATTTCAAAATAAGAGCATATTGTTTCAAGATCATTTCTACTAGGACTGAAACATCAACCCTCAATCTTCACTTAAAGAACTAAGATTAGCTGGATGAGAATTAACAGGTTCATTTTAGCCTGACAACAACATGTCAGATTGGTGAAGCCACATTTAAAGAACAGGACCATGTCTGTATTTTTCTAATAGATTTGATCATGTTTTCACAATAATATCTTTGTTTGCTCTTCTCTGCACGACGCAGTCTACGGCGTTCCCCTCAGAAGTGAAGGGTCTCACCAAGCGGATCCGTACAGTGCTGATGGCCACGGCCCAGATGAGAGAGCACGAGAAAGACCCAGAGATGCTGCTGGACCTCCAGTACAGTCTGGCCCGGTCCTATGCTAGCACCCCTGAACTGAGGCGGACCTGGCTGGACAGCATGGCCCGAGCGCACCTAAAGAACGGCGATCTCTCTGAGGTATCAACAGAGGCGCTTCACTTAATATCCGCTCCACTTTGTGCTACATGTTTACCTGTCTGTCTCTTCATCTTTTATTATTTTTGTTCTTCTATTGTTACCTAAAGATAACAATAAGGACAAGCAGACTCTTTGACCTCTAAATCACTTTTAGACATCTTTGCATATTTTGGCCTCTGGTTTTTTGTATCTCAGTTGCTGACTGAATTGTCTTGGTCTTGAATAAAAAGAGAGATGTTGGAGATGGAGCACCGGAGATTTGAATTGAATGGAAAACCAACAAGGTTTCAAGGAAGAATTACTCACCCTGTATCACTCCTGGTAACAACGTCATAAGCTGTAACAACATAACCACAATACAGTGTAATAACATCCTGTATTTTGATGCTTTTCTGTAGCATTTTCAATATTTTTATATAATCCTGCCGAACATGTTTGTTTTTGGTTACTAAGAATAGTTTTTGCGTAAACATGGGAGGCTGACACTCAGTTAAAAGTTTAGTTTCTACTTTATTTTTTTGGGGTTGTAATTACAATGTGTTTTTTGTTTTTGTTTTTATTGAAGGGAGAATCTTTTGATCCTCTCCAGATGGAGGTCAAGTCAGATGCAGAGCTGAAACCTGGGTGGTCCAGTTGATATAATATTTGCCTGAGTCCAAGTTCATTTATTTATTTGATCCGACTCACTTTTTCACAAACAAACTAAATGAAACAGCAGCAAACCCAGTTAATTTATCTAATGTAATCTTTTAGTTTTTTATTAATTTTTTTATTCAGTTTTATTTAATTTGTTTTTGTGTTGTTTTAAAGAATTTTGAATAAATAAAATAATCAGTTATTATCATTTATTTTATTTCGTTTTGTTTTAGTTTTATATTCTGTTTCAGTTTGTTTTATTTATTTTGAGCATTTTTTTTAACAATGCTTTTACACAAAAAGATAAAACCGGACATTGATAAATTAAATTCCTCATAAAACATTTGGCAACTTTCAGGCTAAACTCACTAAACGGATAAAAAGAATCCCCTCACTATCAGTCATTATAAGTAAAGACGCAATTAGATATGTCTTAGTAGGGTGAGGGTTAGGTTCGTAAAGGGAAACTGCAGTCATAAAAACAGGTGACCTTTTTCCTTCGCAGCTTTCAGGCCTTTGTGCATGATGTTGCTTCACAGGTGTTGGCTGTCAGTTTAATGGAAGGTGTGGCAAGTAGGTAGGTATGTATTAGTCACACAGTAATATGTTCAAAGCTGAAGAGTTAAACACAACAGATCTCTCTTCACAACAAATCAGCCAATTTAATGCCATGTAAAACGTTACGGTGTCTACAGTGTGCCTTTGTGCCACTCACTCTGTTTTCCCATTTCATATTTCACATAAAGCTGCATGTTAACGTGTTTTGCTGCAGAAACTAAATCTTCCTGTGTTTGTTGTTTTTCTTTCTCCACAGGCGGCCATGTGTTACGTTCATGTGGCTGCACTAGTAGCAGAATACCTGCACAGGAAAAGTAAGGCCCTGCACACTTCTACACGCACACACACACACACACACACACACACACACACACACACACACACACACACACACACACACGCAATATTTTACCTGCATTTGTGGTTTACACATATACTGTAACTAAACACTGCAGCAGTGTTGATAAAAAGGCCCTGTTTGCTGAGTTCATTCAGGAAGGACTTTGGAAAAATATTTGCTTAAGGAGTTGAATTACACACTTAACTGACTCGATGAGGATGTAATTTAAGGTAATTTAAGACCGCACACACAACCATACCATGCACCTCACCTTCACCAGGAAACATCCAGTGATCCTCCAGGAAGATTTGCCTGCTCTGGTGATGAACAACATGCCAGTTAGTTCACTGACTGTTGTTGGATACAGCATGCAAACACTCCACAGACTGATATTATTAGATCAGCGCAGTGACATCTAGTAAAAACAAAGCCACATAACTGCGGTTAGTGTTTTTTTTTGTTTGTTTTTTTTTTCTTTCACAGTTCATTTTAATCTAATGCAAAACCTGCTGTTAAATAATCCTTTAAACAAATGTGATAGTCCTTATCTTTGAGGCGTGTTAACGGACAAAGAGGCTGGAGGTGCAGCAGTTAGCGACTGCAGGCTTATCTCTAGAAAAATTTGTTTGGCATCTAGACCAGAGACGGCAGTGTGTATACAGTGGCTCTGCTTTTATCATTGGATTTATTATTAGCTTTCCCAAACCAAGCATTGTTCAATATTTTAGCTTTCTCTCTTTAACACGTGTTTTTACAAAGCAGGTCAAAAGTTAGATGATGTGAATGTGACTGGCACAGATTTGGATCTCGACTAATTTTCATTGTTTTTAGAGCCAGTTGCTGAGACGCTGCGAAACCTCAAAGCTTCCAAAACGAAATACAGCATTTGCCCGCCTGCCTTTTAAAATTCTTTTACTTGTTTTTAAAGCATTTCATGGTCTTGCACCAACATATATGTCTCAAATGCTTACATTCTGTGAACCAGTACGGCTCCTTAGCTCCTCTGGCGTGAGTCAGTTTAGTTGCTCAGGGCTTCCTTTGGCTTAGCAGCTTTTAGCTCTTAGTCTCCCTGAGGACCTGAGAGCAGCGGAAAGTGTTGAAATCTCAATCAAAATTTCAGCCTGATGTTTATTTAGATATGATTTTTACTCATTAGTCACTTTATTGTATTGTATCTATGTTTTAAATTGTATTTTATTCTATTTTTATCTGTTATTTTATAATTAATATTTTGTGTTATGTTATTTTTGCCTGTTTGTTAATGTAAATGGTAAATATCTGCATTTATATAGCACTTTTCTGGTGTTATTTCTAGTCTCATAGCGCTTTACCCTGCAAGCCACATTCACACACATTCGTATACAGCGCTTCTACCATACACACTCATACAGGGTTAGATGGAACAGCCTTCAGAGGCAATTTGGGGTTCAGTATCTTGCCCATTTTGACGACCTGAGCCACAGCTCAGAGCACATGTAAAAACAGCTTGAGCTGTAAAAAGGACATCAAAATAAATGTAAAAGTAAGTAAAACAAATGTATAAAATAAGTAAAAACATACTAAATATACTGCATACAGAAACATATTAAACATACCGACAAAAACAAGAAGCGCTGTGGAGCATATACACAACTATGAACATGACAATGGAGCTAAAAGGTTAGTTAGCCACAAAGAGCCAGTGAATAAAAATGTGTCTTTAATCAAGATTTGAAAATAGACATGGAGCCAGCACATCTAATATCTAATGGCAACTGGTTCCTTAATTCTGGAGCAGTCACCTATGAAATCTATTTTATTACATCTCATCATCATAATTTCTTATTTGTTTTGGCTTATCAGTCATCTGTGAAGCACTTTGAACGGCATTAACCTGTATGAGAAGAGCTGTACAAATAAAGTTTGATTTATTGCTTGATTGATTGATTGATTGATTGATTGTGAGGAAATGTTTGAGCTTTTCTTCGTTGTTCATTCATCAGAGCTGTTCCCCAGTGGCCTCGCAGCCTTCAAGAAGGTCACCTTGAATATTGACGAGGAAGCCGCCATGAAAGAAGACACCGGCATGCAGGATGTCTATTACACTGAGGTGTGACCTGCACACAATAACTTTCTTGCACAAGACATTCATAAGTGACAGAAGTACATTGTGCAATAATTAGGCAATCCAGCCATCCTGATCTGTGTTAACTTCTTTATTTAAATCATTAGTCATTTAATCCGAAATTTTGTCTCTTCCAGGAGGTGTTGGTCGAACACCTTGAGGTCTGTGTGGAGGCGCTGTGGAAAGCCGAGCGCTATGAGCTCATCACGCACATTGCCAAACTCATCATCCCTATTTATGAGAAGCGTCACGAGTATGAGGTAGCAACACATATCACACATAAACGTGCAGCCAATGGTTCTTCATCTTCACCATCTTCGTGCTCAAATAAACATATCTGTGTGACGGCATCGTTTGACAGGATTGTCAGCATATCTTCATCTCATTTTGTACCAGCAGACTGAACTGGTGGCATGACACCACATTAAAGCAGCCATGTCACTTGCACAACATGATTCCAGTCTGATCTGTCAAACCGCGCGTGTTTCAGTTTCTCACCTTTTGAGAATGTGGTTCGCTTACCCTCATCGAATTCTTCAGCTGTTGCCTCTTGCTATGGAAAACGCTGCTTGTCCTGTTCAGGATCATGGAGGCCTTGAGCCTGTCTGCACACACTGGGCAAGAAGTGAGGCTGCCAGTCTCTAATTTAAATAGCCTTTTAATCTTAATGGGTTTGGCGTACGGGAGGAAACCCACACAGAACATGCAAACCCCTGTGGATGTGTACCCAGGAGCGCCTTGTGGTGACACGACGAGCCACCTCCCACTATTGAGAATTACAAGTTTGGAAAACGCGAATCACTCTGTGTTTGTCATCTGTTGGTCTCCTCGTGCCTTTACATAAACACACACGTCCCCCGTTTTGTTGGGCTGTGACATAACTGAAATGCTCGTGCTTGTCTGTGCATGCAGACTGTCTGGTTGAGTCACTGAACAAACAGAAAGTTGGCCATATCTGATCCTATATTTGTCCCATTTCTCCAGAAACTAAGCCGGCTGTATGACACTCTGCACAGAGCCTACAATAAAATAATGGAGGTGATACAATCAGGACGCAGGCTTCTTGGGACATACTTCAGAGTGGCTTTTTATGGACAGGTGAGACCTACAAGCAGCTCCAAGAAAGAATACTTTAGTATTCATACTAATTGGCATGTTTCAATGAACAATTCTTCCAGCACACATCACTCCCATCATAACTGAACCATCAGTCAAATGAACAGAGTTGTGTGTTTTTCCACAGGGCTTCTTTGAGGAGGAGGACGGAAAGGAATACATTTATAAAGAGCCCAAACTCACAGGCCTGTCTGAAATCTCCCAGCGGCTGCTGACACTCTATGGGGACAAGTTTGGGCCGGAAAATGTCAAGATAATTCAAGACTCAAACAAGGTGCTGTAGCTAGATTGGAGAGAGGAAAGGGTGGGAGATGTTTGTATTTATTTTTTCATAGCCTTAATGTGTTTTTTCTGACTTTGAATGGCAGGTTGCTGTAGTGGTTGAAATCCAGTCAGAAATGAAAATAAGTAATTTGGCTTCACAGCCTGGCTTTCGTGTTTATTTAGAAAATATCATTTGTCCAACATAATGTGGGAAATATTCAGATTCTGTCCTGAGGAGTTACCATGAAGTCTCAGCTGAGAAGTTTGGAAAGAGATTTCTTTCACTGCTTTTATTGTGTGTGTTAGTTTAACCCCGTGTCTGTCAAATACTCACTGGAGGTGGATGAGGCAGCATGTGTCATGGCAGCCAAGTGTTTAGAACTGGGGACGTTATATCTCCATGGAGATATTAGGGAAAGATTGAGGTTCTATTGGATGATTACAATGGCTACAATCTGGAATGTCCCTGACTGACGGGCTGACTGAGTGATCATATTTCCACAATTGGTCAGCCAAATGATTGCAGTTTCTGGTGCAAATAGAGGGTTGCCAATTTAGCACATTGTCAATAGATAGAGACTTTTTTTTCAAACAATAAGCAGAAATATTTGCATAATATCTGAATAAAAGTCTTCATAGAGGCATATGTTCTGAACTCAAACCAAAAGACCATCTCAAGACTAATTCATAATAATTCATGTGTTTGGTGATGTGTCAGACAGGGTTCTAGTTATAAAATCCATCCATATACTAGGTTTTTTTATTATTCACTTTCAACAAGTCTGATTTAAGTCTCACCAATATTTAACTACTCTCCTGTTTGTTTTGGACATTTGTTTTGCACGCCTGTAGTTTATTAAAGCTGACCGCTCGCCCACAGGTTAACCCTAAAGACCTGGACCAGAAGTTCGCTTACGTCCAGGTGACATTTGTCAAGCCGTACTTCGAGGAGAAGGAGGCGCCGGAGAAGAAAACCGACTTCGAGAAGTGCCACAACATCAACCGCTTTGTGTTTGAGACTCCGTACACGCTGACGGGCAAGAAGCACGGCGGGGTGGAGGAGCAGTGCAAGAGGAGAACCGTGCTCACAAGTAAATGAAACACTCTCTCTCACACACACACACACACACACACACACACACACACACACACACACACACACACACACTCATAAACACTCTGCTGTAGTGTTTGACATTTAGATTCAACACTGATCCAACAGCTTCATCAAACCTGCAGGAGAGACTTGACAGTTTTCATGTGAAGAGACAGTTTATGTGTTATTTTTTTAAATGCCCTACAGCATTAATGTACTAAGTTCTCCTTTAATCACTCATTGCATTGTGCTTGTGTGCAGGGAGTAAACATTAAAACAGCTGGTTACTGCAGCAAGTGGCAGCTGGATGTTAGGATCCCTCCCTATTCAAGCATCTCCAGCTTATCTCATTCTATTGACAAGCACCGTCAAACAGTGTTTTTCTGTCTTGTTAAGCTAATACATGTCAGTCTCATTGCGTGTAGTCGTTGCCAAGTGAGACAACTGTACACACTATAGAGCGGGAAAAACAACAGATGCTTTTGCGAATTTTTCTGCTTGTTTACCGCAATGTCAAAACAAAACTTCTCCTTCTTGCCTCTGTCATCACTTTTGAATTCACACAACTATTAAAAGCGGGAGATCACATAAAGATGATCCCATGACTCACTCTCAACCGGTTTTGCCTGCACCTCTCATCTCCAGCTGCCCACGCCTTCCCATACGTGAAGAAGCGAGTGGAGGTGGTGGGAGAGAAGCAGGTGGAGCTTAAGCCCGTGGACGTGGCCATAGACGAGATGAAGGCGCGGACGGCAGAGCTAACCAAGCTCTGCTCCCACCAGGAAGTGGACATGATCCAGCTGCAGCTCAAACTGCAGGGCTGTGTGTCTGTGCAGGTAAAAGTTTGAGTCATTCAGAGTCACACTTAAGATCTCAAATCAGATAATATCTGGTCAGGGATCAGTGTTTGAGAGCAATGAGAAATCCAGGGTGGTACATGCTTGTTGTTGTCTGTTTGAGTGCCTAACATTTTCAGACATGTCTTGCTGCAGGTGAATGCAGGTCCCATGGCCTATGCGAGAGCATTTCTAGATGACAGTAAATCAAACCAGTCTGGTAGTAAGAAAGGGAAAGACCTCAAGGACATTTTCAGGTGCCTTTTTCCCCTTATAAATAAATTATCATTATTTTAATTATTCTGTAATTGTAACAATATAACAACAAAAACAGTTTATAAGTGATCTAATGAAAAAGTCATTTGTCGTTTTATGTTATAAAAGTAATTTAAGTTATTTGTGGTAATTGCAGGCGTTTCGTTGAGGCTTGCAGCATGGCCCTGGATATAAATGAGCGTCTGATTAAAGAGGACCAGTTCGAGTACCACGAGGGCCTGAAGGGCAACTTCAAAGAGATGGTGAAGGAACTGTCAGACATCATCCATGAACAGGTAATCATATTTGTCTGGTCCCAGCCCAGACATCAGTAAAATGAAATATTCTGGAGAGGTGACAATTTAGTGTGTATACCACACCCTGACCTCATCACAGCCAGACCAACGCCTTTTTTGTGTTCAAACTTGTTTTGCTCTGATTTGATATACTATTAGTCAGAAACATCAAACATGAGCTTTCTCTCTGTGGTAAATAAGATATCAGTTACATCAGCAGCCAGGATAGTAAAATCTCTCTTTAACACCAAGACCAATGTTACAAACTGTGTTTTCTGTTCATGGGTACAGAGGGATTCATTTGTTTGAGTTTAATATTGCGGTTGAGGCCTTATACCTGTAATTCCTGTCCCATTAAGTTACACATTCAGTTACAACATTCTTTAATGGGCCTGTAAAAAAGAATCAAGAAGCATTAGCTCACGTTAATAAAACCAAGCTCAGACATCACAAGACCATGAAAAGCTTGAAGGGCTCTGTTCACCCAAGTTACATGCAAATGCACTTTCTGACTTACATGTGGTGGTATGTCGCCCTGCAGATACATTTGAGTTTTCCGTCTTCACCCTGATACAATGGACATGAGAAGAGTTTTGTTAGTGGTGCTCACTGGATTAAAAAAATGTAACATGAATGTAATTTTTAATCTGGATAATTTCACTGGAGCTACCTGCCACCAAAAGAAATTGTCCTGTGTGTTCTCTTGATTTTCCAATATTGATGAATATTGATTAAACCGAAACTACCTACAGAGTTAGATGCCACTAGAGTTAAACGCTCAGTATGTAACTTCTCCTTGCAGGGATCTCTCGATCAACCGTTTGGTGACTTTGTGAAGTAGCGTGGGATCATGGAAGTTTTTGTCTTTACCACCTTTGTTGTCAGCTTCTCCCAGTTTGGATTCCTTCAGTTTTAGTCGTTCTGGAGGGTTTTTAGTTGAAAACGGCCGAGGTGTAAAAGGTGTATCTTAAAAATTGGGCTTAAAACTAGATAAAAGTCCATTTTGAGCATCTGGCAGACAAACACAACACTGACACAAGCACATGGGGGATATGATGCTATTGACAGGTGGGCAAATGAAATGGACCATTACCATGATTAAAATCACAGATTTCTCTAGATTGTGAAGTGCTTAAAAAAACTGGGATAATGTAAGAACACAACTTAAAAAAAAGACATTTTAATGTGGGAAAGTTACATTTTATAACTTTAGGTGCCAAAGCATGTTTTTTCTGAATTTGGGTGAACCGATCCTTTAAGAGTATCTATAAAGTTATTATAACACCACAGAATCCCATTAATGTTGCATTATAGTGAGTCATGCCCCATATCAAAGGCATGCCAATTAGGTTATTCAAATCCCGGTGGCACAGTGTCCATGATATTATTCTCTATCCACAGTTAATATCTGTTTTTGAAATATTTTTTATGAGTGACTATTATTCTATTGTAGTCTCAATTACCTCAAGCTGCAGCAAAGTTCATTGCTCTGTAGTTTATTTATATGAATAACTTACAATGCAAATGATGAGTGTGGGGTTGATAGAGCAATAAAATGCAACGAGTAGTCACCACGTGTCAGCTACTTTTTATGGGGGAACATAACTGGCATTAAGCCCACTGGTTGTGTTTATTAATGTGATTTCACAACTTGCCTAATGTCAGGTGCTGTGTAGATGTGGCCGTTAAAAATAACTTGCTGATACATCTTGATTCTTTGAACACAGCTCATGAGCAGACTTGAACTGAATCATAATCAGCTGCAGCGGAAAGCTGTACTAATGTAGCGTCATTGAAGACTGAATTTCCTATTGTACATTTCCTGGAAGAATTATTCCCAGAGCCACAAAAGATGCCTCACACACTCATCTGTCCCTTTTCTTAAAATCTTTGTGAGTAGAATTAAGCTGATTCAACCAAGGGTGAGTTGAATTGAACAGTGGATTGTACAGACTGGATGCTCCTCATGTTACAGTCAATTTGTATTCAGGGGCGGGCACTTAGTTTCACTGTTGCTCAATAAGATTGCATAGTATTTTTTTTGGTTCTCTTCCCATCAGTGGAATGTGTCATGGTTGAATTGCAGCACAACTATTTAACAACTACAGGTTCTGCTCGTACTATCAGGTTGGGTTTTGTTGTCTGATTGTATCAAACTAACTGGTGTGACTTTTTCTCTCCAACAATTGCTGACCTTAAGCTTTAAGGAAAAACAGGTAATGTAATCATTAAAGCCTCAGTTTGTCTTTTTTTTTTTTATTCAAATGAATTAATAAATCTGTACCTTCTTGTTGTGGTTAAAGTGCAAAGATAATTGAAATCAAGTCATCTGGATATGAAAAAGAAAACAGCAATCAAAGTGGAGAAGCTTTTGAAATGGGTCGTTATATAATTATAAACAAGTGACAGTAAAAGAGAATTTAAATCTGGGTGGCGCCCCAATGGATCACCTGATGGAGTCAATGCGTATAATAAAAAGGCTAGAGTCCTAACCGCAGCGGCCCAGGTTCAAGTCCAACCCGCAGCCCTTTGCTGCATGTCATCCCCTCTCTCTAACTTCCTGTCTCTATCTCACTCTATCAAAATAAAGGCAAAAACATAACTTAAACTTCCTCCTTCCTCCTTCCTCCTTCCTCCTCGCGTCACTCTCAGTCATGAAAAGGTTTTTACCAACTCTGGTGTTGAAAAACAAATGAAATTGAGAGATGATCAACTGATCAAACTTGTTTTACAGACATGCTAGCATCCTGGTCGAGGGATGGAAGCATTTGCATGTACACACAAGTGTAGAAACAAAGCATGCTGGTAGTAGACACACTGCAACCTCGGTTATTCCAAAACAAACCAGGATGCTGGTAAACAAACACGTCCACCCAGGTTTCTGCCTTCATGTCTTTGTCTTGGTGGCTGCGGTTTTAGCAGTAAAACCTGTCTGCTCTGGAGCAAAGAAGGAATCTCATTTTTAATCATGTAGAAATAAAATTAGCAACAGACTGACATGGGGAAGTTGTGACTGGGATGATGGAGAAAAGAAAAAAACTGAAGCAGAAGCAGAAAGGACACTGCAGTTGAATCATATATTCTTAGATATCCTGAATAAAGTCCCAGATAACATGAAGCTCAGTTTCCACATGATTCTGGTTTTGTATTAGATCTTTCTTTAAAGAGAATCTTCTACTGTTTCTTCCTCAGACATGTTCAGCTGAGGTATGGTTACTATAGCAGACTTTTGACAGGCTTTAGCAGAGTTCAGTTAAGTGAAACTCGCATCTATGGGCAAGTTGTAGCAGATTCAACCCCCGAGTTATTTAGGATTAAGCACGGCATGGATGAAAGCCTGTTGGCTAGGAACAATGTGATTTCATGTTGTTGCAAATGAAATATCACTTGCATACATCTACTGTGACAAATAGCAGAGGATCAATTTCTGGTAAATTCTTCTAATGATGGAAAAGAGAAGGTCAAAACTCCAAAAAGCAAAAACTTCATTGATGTCATAGTAGTTTTTTGTTTACAATTTTAAGTGGGCAGCCTGTTTGTAATGGATTGTTTTGTTTTTATTATGCCCAATGCTTTTGCTTTTGGTTTGAGATGAGGATGAGATAATGAGTAAAAAATGTAGTAATTGCTCTTCAAGCTACCTGAATGACAACCAAATATGTTGTTCAGAGGACAGTACAATAACAATTATCATATAATCATCCTGCTCACACAACCTGTTTGAAGACTCACGAGCGTAGCCTAGCAGGGTGCGCAAACTGTCCCGCACCAAATAAATGAAAGTGTGTTGTGTTGATGTCTCACAACGAAAACATCAAAATTAATAGAAAATAAAATATACAAATGTCATTCACCTCATTTCACCCTGTAGACGAGTGTCTCATGTCTGCAGACGCTTCTTGTTACACGACTCTACTTCAGCAGCAGCTGTTTGGAATAAATACAACTGTGTAGTAACTGCTTCCATAAACACAAGTAGCAGCAGTGGAAACCTCTTCCCAGACCCCTGATTCGCCGCCCACCTCTCAGATCCGTCCCCACTTCAATGTACAAGAAAGAGCTTGTGCGTACTGACGTGATAGTAAGATCAGAGAAAAAGAAGATAAGATTTTTATTGATAAGAATGAAAAAAAACAGTGGGGCAAGGACAGCGTGACTTTACACACAGCAGCAAGGAATACTGTGTGTGCATGAATTTCATGATCATATTTATGTTTGTTGTCAGGTAATTGTAGAACTGGTACTTTAATAGCTTTGTTTTATGTATTTCAGCCTGTAAACACTTTTCTCCCTTCAGCTTTTATTTGTAGAACCCCATAGTGTGTCACATCCTATCAGCCTGTGTAGTTGTGTGTGTGTGTGTGTGTGTGTGTGTATGACCCTTTTATTTATGTAAGGGCTGACACTCATCCTGTGTGTGTTTTTTTTGTTGACTCCCCAGATCTACCAGGAGGATATGATGCGCTCGCTGTTACAAAACTCGCTGCATGTGTTTCGTGCCATCAGCGGGATGTCCACCGACCTGGGTTGACCCGCCCACACCCAACACCACCAACCCCCACCCCCCCCCACCCCATCTTCCTTTATGTATATCCTCTCACCTCCTCCCTTAAGGACCCGGACCAGGATGATGACAGGGCAGCTGCCTGCCCAGTTACGCCTGCCTAAACACACCCCCAGCAAAGACGCCATCTGGTCGTGGTACATGGTCCGGGTGAAAGATCGCAGTACAGTTGGATATAATATTCAAACCACAGCAGCAGTATTTCTAAGAATGTATCCCGGCAACACAGACTAAATGTCAACATGTCAGGTTGACGTGTTATGCTGAGTCACGCTAGGTTGCATTGCACTTTTTTTCTGCCTCGGCGACAACCTGCAGGATTGGCTGTCATTTCGTTAGAGAGAGATACTGTACTAAAGCATTGTTTTTTTTTTTCTTTCTGTCCTCTCTCTCTCTCTGCAATGTTTCCCTTCAGATCAATGCAGGACACAACACTTTTAGAAGATGATAGCATCTTTCCACAGTGTTTGTGCGCCTCTGGCAGGATGATCAATAACCCCACCTTGACCGGTTCTGTAGCAGACTTCCAAACCGAAAGCACTGAGGTACTCTGTTAAGCTAAGGGTTGGTGTTTATTGGCTTAGCAGCACATTCCAGCCAGGTTTACAGATTGCCATAAACAGATAAATCATGTCTAAAGAGCAGCAGCTTATAGTGAGCACTGGGCCAAAGTTACTACCCTGTTTCTTTAATGTAAAAGCCTCAGTCTGTTCCAAAGTTAAAGAAGAGAAAAAAAAGACAGACCTCATGGTTGTATTGAAGCTATATGATAAAGCTGCTCTTAAGAGGTTTGCGACTTAAAAGCAGCTCAATTAAATTGTACATGTAAAAAAAAATGTTATTGGTATGACAACAGTGTGTTGTAGATTTGTAATGAATCAGTCAAACCAGGAAAGATTATGATACAAATTCTATCAGAGCTTTGCAACAATCATTGACACAGTTTCCTCTGTGGCCAGGACAGGACACACTGATCGCAGCGGTGTGATAGTATTTTCTTCAACAACGATTAAGTGTCGAGTTCCTCTCATCTGGGTTTAGATCCAGTGCCTTTGTGCTCTGCCTTCTGAAAAGACTCTCAATGAATAAGAACCACCACATGCTGGTTATTCACAGTATTTCACAAGTGCTACACTGAAATTAGCAGATAGATGAATAATATTTAAGCAGATGTACATAATTTGTTCTGATGCTGTAAATTGAATTCTGTACCCATGTATGTTTGTACGTACTGTATGTATGTATTTATATTTGTAACGTTTTGGACTCGTGTTCAGTCCAAAATCTGTCCAGCAGAGAGATTTTTTTTTTTTTTCCATTTTTACTGCGTTGTATACTAAAGTGCTGCTGCCTGTCAAACTTACTTTGTAAAGCCTTTTTCCAATAAAACCTGGAAAAGCTATTGAGCTCGAGGACAGTAAATGACAAAAAAGTTTAATAGCTGTTCTGGAGCTTTCAGAAGATCTTCCTCTCCACAGGCGGCCGAGTTGTCATGGACTTCACCACTGAAAGCTCCAGTACAGCCACTATAATTAACCAGGTGGTTTGGTTAAAAAGCCACTCAAACACACAAACACACACACACACACACACACACACACATACACACACATGCATATACACACCTCACACAAAAAATTCATTGTTGCCATACCCATAACATTTTGTGAAATCAGCCACTGAATCAACTCCACGTGGTCCTAAAGTTGTGGGATGGGGTTGACGTCATTTATCTGTCCGTCATTCAGGTTTCTGGGAAAACTCGTTTTTTTCTTTATAGGGTTGCCATTGTGTGCGGGGGCAGTGACTGGCAAAAGAGGAACAGAAATTATATATGAAACCTTTTAGAAATTGGAATATCTTCTAGCCCATACAAATAAGTATGTTTATGTATGTATGCTTAAATCGTAGACATAAATATGTATACATCCCAGAGCTTGTCAGTAAATGTTTATATTATATACAGTACAGTCCAAAAGTCTGAGACCACTTTACTAGAATGGGAAGATAGATATGTTATAAATGAATGAGAAATGAATAAGAAAAATATAAATTAGCAGCCAAATATTTGCTGTGGGAAATGATCCGGCTGAGAAATAATGTCTTGTTTGTGAGACCTCATACCATTTTTAGACGTTTTTTTTTTTTTTTTTTAATTCAGTCCATCAAATGACTAATTTTATACTTACTTACTGCACCCTAGGAGATTTCAATTATATGGAATTAAAGGGTCCAACCCACACAGTTATGTGCCCGAATACTTTTGGCCATATAGTTTGTACTTCTTCTGAGAGGTGTTGGGTGTTACCCAAATAGTAAAACATACCGATGCCTGGGTCCTCGGCCCAAGTCTGGCCCATTTACTGTACTCCCATATCTGGGTTGTTACCTGAAATTGACTGACAGCCAGAATTGGTCCAGATAGTAGCATTTTACAATCATGCTGTTTATGGGCCAGATTTGGGCCATGGAACTGGGCGTATACTGGGCCGGAAGAAAACAAACATGTTGCTCCAGTATGGGCCGGATTTATTTCTCTATCTGTCTAACTGGATCAAGCTTGTCATTCATCCTTACTCTTAACTTCAAAAATGAAGCTGTGCTAAAGATGCACAGTTTCTCATGGCTTTGTCTTCCTGGCCTTGATCCATCAGTTTGTCTCTCTATCGTTTGTTGCTGCACAAAGCCATTACCATACAGATAATCAGCTTAATGATTCACAGACTCATTTAGTTCCTGACGACTTCCTGGAGGAATGGATGGATCTCTTGGTGGTTTGTGATATCGCACTTAACATCGCACGCATGCGTGGTCTGCGTTCATGAAGAGAGGCTGTTTACTTTGACTTCTTAACTCTTACTCTCACTGGTCGTACCCCGCTGATGAGACGCTGTTTGAGATGAGCGAAGGTAGTTTTTCATTCCCACTGACTCACTCTCATTCCCGCGCTGTCATCAACAGCTTCCCTCCCACTGCTTACATCGGCCCCGCCCCTCTGTTCCCGGTAGACTACACACACCGCCGTCGCACCGACTTTAAGGAGGTGCGCTTGTTGGCTGTTTACCTTTCACTTAACCGTTTGCCCCCTGTTCATATTTTTTCTTCTTCTTCTTCTTCTTCTTCTTTCTATCTTCAACACTCGCTCCTCGGTGTTTATCTGCTGTATGTCTCTATATAGTCACTTTAACTGACTTTATTTACTGGGGGAACCGGAGGATCGCGGGAGTTGACCCGCTTCCAGATGGAATAATTGCTCAGGCGCTCGAGGACAACATGACTTTCACTCGGGAGTTCTTTGCCATCTTGTCATGCACCGCCATGATAATGCTGCTCCACTGTAATGCAGGTAAAGACCCAACTTCTTCATTGCTATCACTGATCTCTCATGACAACTGATTGTTACCTTATGTGAGATTCAGAGACAACAAGGTTAACATGAAATACTTTCAACCTTTTCTTTAAAATGGTGCATTGATTAGGCCTATTGATTATTTATTTCAGGCACTTTGGGTTGGAGATGAAAACATCTTAGTTTAATAATGCGCTATGATTTTTCAATCTTTCTTCTATTATTATTACTATTATCTATATTTATTATTCTATTCTTCTTCTTTTTACTATTACAATTATTATAATTATAATTATAATATTAATTCTAATAATTATTATTATTATTATCATTCTAATAAGGGCATCCTTATTTTAACCCCAACCTTAAGGGGGGCTTCTCACAGCAGGGGTCCTGTATTTACCTTTGTACGTTTTAGATTTTGACACTGATAAATCAGAGTCATGCGAGTACATTTTTCCGCTTTTAGGTTATGTCGAAGAAAAAAAGTTGTATCACCACTACAAATATTATTTAAAAGCTCTTTCCAGGTTCCCTAAACTGTTTTCTGTCGAGTTTTGATTAAAAATAATGATCTTTTTCTCCTCGCTAACGACATTTTACAAACTGCGATCGGCCCCTCACTTTGATTTTGATGTGGCACCTCTATTTCGCCATTACGGTGCAGGCGCTGAGCGCAACCTGAAGTTTCCGACCACGGCGCTGTATATGGAGCTAAAACCAGAGTGAGTTACTGTTGTAAAAAGGTGTTTCACAAAGTGGTGTCGCGAAACTTCCGTTTGGTTCTCAGATTTCTTTCTAGGGATATAAAATCATTTTTAGCTGTAAATCCACAATTTATAGATAGTTTTATACAGTGAAGGCACCAAACACAATGAAATACACACATGTATCTAGAATAAACATTTCTATCATTATATTGAGTCTACATTATTCACTGGATTCACTGTATTTGAGAAATATCAAGATATATTCACCTTTAATGTAAAAAAAAAAAAAAAACACAAACCAAAAAAGTCTTTCATCATATTTGAAGTCTCATTTAAAGTTTTCCTGTATGTTGTTGTGCCTGTCTATGCAGTTCTTCTCTATATCCATGACGTCATTTTACTGTAAGCTACCTTACTGGCCCTTTTACCATAAGGGTTCAAATATGAGGAACATTTGTAAGTTCAAAAGCTCATTGAGTTTACAGGCGATTTTGCCTGAGTTTTCTCATTACTGGTACAGTGAGATGACGTCATCTTTAATGTGGACATAGAGAGGATTACGCTCTTAGAGGAACGTAATAGGAATCTATTTTTGGGACTTACGGTAAAGCTGCCAAGGAAAGGTCTTTATGAGCCCTTCATTCCTCTTTGGTTACTAATCAACTACCGTGATTGTGGAATAGACAAGCAACAAAAACATTTAAAACAGCGGTTATATGCCCACCTTGTCCGCGCTGTGCTGTTGCGAGTTTGTTCAGAGGCAATCGTTGCCTCTGGACAAACCCCCGGAACTAACGGGAGCCCACCGTGGTTCTCTCTGAGCAGTATCGTTAATTCTGTAAAGGTGATGTGAATTTCTCCTTTTTAATTTCTTGTCCCACAGATCCCCTTCCTCCGCCTACAGATCTGTCATATAAGTGGCTAGACCCGTTTACTGTGAACGTGTCCTGGTTATGGCAGAGGCCCAGGAATCTGCCACAGGACTGTGAAATCATGTATGAGTGTGCGCAGCAGAACGCCAAGCCTGAAATCCGGGTAAGACTGGGTCTCTTGGGTATGTTTGGGAGGTCCCGGGGTCCCCTTGCAGGCTCTTCTTCACTGTTAGATTGATGTAGGCGATTAGCTGCAGATCACATGCATTGTGCTAAATGACATTACTGCCAACCAGTAAAATACATTTTCCTTCAGATTGATTCCAGGCAACTCATTGGTTTCACTTAGAGGGACACGCCACCGACTTTACACATCAAATTTAATTTACTCATTATGACTACCACTCAAAACAGTTGCACATTGCTCTGTACGGCTTTGGAGGCTTTTGTCTTGGCTTAGGTTTAGAGGCTACAAATTGTTTACACGTAGCCTGTGTTAGAAACCAGTGTTTGTGACACAGATGAGTGCATTTACCAGAGAGGGAGGTTCAAAGGAAGAGTGCAGTCGAGTTGCATTATGGGAAGTGTGAGGTCCAGGGTTTCTGGGACTAATTACACTATTGAGTTCTGTTTCACGAGTCCTTCATTTTTGTGGAACTGCAATGAATGAATTAATTTACTCAGCAGGAAGTATTTTGAACAATATTGGTCATGTGGCCACACATAACTGGTGATTATCATTGTTTTTAAACAATGTAATATTATGTCTGATATTCTTCAGTAGAGAGCAGATACACTTTCTCTGACAGCACTGCTTCCTTCCCGCTGCTGTCAGGCTTTACAGTCAACACTGCCCCCAAGACCACACATGTACAATATCAACGTATACAAAACAGTGCAATATCAATATTTCCTTTCTGCAATAATGTGATTTCAACTGTTCAATCTGTTTATTTGTTTATCTTATTTGTTTTATATTAATCTTGCTTATTATGTTGTTACCTCTGTTTACTTATTTTTTATTCTAATGATGCTCTTCCAAGTGCCATCAGGATTATCCTATTTTATCAAATTACCACCGTAATTTATGTTGTCTCGATATGAAGCCCAGAGGACACAAAAATATATAATTATATATATATATATATATATGTATATATATACACTGTTGCCCATAAAGTTGGAATAATTTTGTTTTCAGTTTAATTGTGGTTTCATTTTCATTGTAATATGTTTGGAAGAGATTGACTACTAAAGTTTTGAGAATAGATACACTTTATCTGTCTAAGAATAAATCACATTGTCACAATCATTTCATGGAAAGAGGTAAAAAATATTTTATTCCAACTTTATGAGCAACAGTGTATATATATATATATATATATATATATATATATATATATAATTGGAAAGATGGCAGCTGTGTAATGGGGAAAGCATATCCATTTCAAACAAATCTGAAGCCTGTTATGCTGAAAAGAGCTACTTGGTGCAGGATTTGTAAATTTCTGACTTAAATAATATTTAATAGTGGATCTCCAGCCTGTGGTGCTTGGAGGAAGAAGACCTGTTTCAGCAAATGTCATTAAAGCCCATCTTGTTTTCTCCATGTTGTTTTTAAAGCGCATAGAATCAAGAAATGTCAGTTGGAACTGTCTCACAGGAGAAACAGGTTCTCAGAGCTGCACCTTCACCATTCATACCGTTGGCACTAAAGGGTCATGTCTGGATTGGAAAAGCAAATTTGAGAACATAACCATCAAAAGCCCAAAGCCACAAGGTAAGAAAACTGAAATGACAAGGATAAAATCATTTATTTATGATGATTAAGAGAGCAGACTTGAATCTTAGGTGACACCTTTTCTTTTTGTCCTGTACAGCTAAAGTGGTGGAGGACTTCAAATGTATCCTTGACCCCATGGGAATGAACTGCTCCTGGATCCCAGTATATCCGGATTTCGATCTGACGCTCTCCTACAAGTGAGAATTATACACTATGTCTCTAAATTTCTGCATTAAAGTTTTAATGATGATGGGGTATTATCATCCGAAGCTTATTAGCATGTGGGATTTAGCATAAAGTTGCTTATTACGAAGGCCTCACAGTACAAAAAACGATTCATTTTGGCGTAATACACGCCATGTTGACCAGCGTAGCCCCTGTAGTTTCTCTTAAGGGAAGAGAAAGATATCTAATTTCTTTGTTTACTGCATTTAGCTCTTCAGCAAACACAAATGAAATCAGGAAGTTAGCTCTAGAATATATTCAGAATAAATACAACATCCTCTTTTCTTACTGCTCTGCCTGGAGTCTGTGTCGGCCCCATACAGCCTGAAAGCCAGCGATAATGTAGCTGTTGTTGTTGTTGTTGTTGTTGTTGTTGTTGTTGTTGTTGTTGTTGTTGTTGTTGTTGTTGTCTAAGTAAAGCACATAATTCCGCTTTCCCGATATGCTGGCTGGGTCTTAGTCAGCTCACTGAGCGCATCCATTGTGTTCGCTAAGGACCTCTCATGTCTCATAACAACAGAGGGATGAAAGGCTTTATCCTTCCTCCTCCTACGTATCTACATCAAAGTGCTCATGTGGCCATCAGCTGTGCAGGGTGAAAACATGTGGATGGAGTTTCCCCGCTTCATTCAGGGCTGCCAAAAAAACTAAATCCCATTCTCTGAACCAAAGGCTGAGCGGAGTTAACCCATTTATTGAATCAATCACCATTTTGGCACAAACATAAACAATTTTCTCCTCATTAGACAGAAGTTGTATATTTCATTTAATCTTTTTGCCTAAGCTCTAAACACATTTTCACTCAGTAAAACAGTTTGTGGTGGTGCATAATGGTAGCAGAAGTTAAACACAACTTGATCATGGCTCTAAATTGTTCACACTTGTTGCTAATGATGCCAATATACCAATATAAACCAGGTCAGAGTGCACAGGTTGATGAAGGTTGAACGAAACAATGGAGGAAAATAATCTGAGAGGTAGAGGAGGAAGAGGAGGAGGAAGACCAAGACCGAGACCAAGAACTGTAATGTTTAGATTCGAGCAACCTTAATAGACAAGGCTCCTGTTCATGGAATAACAATGACGGATGCAGGTCAACCCTCTGTCTCTCTCTCCATAATCAGGAGGTTGAGAGAAGAGAATGTATGTTGTCATCGAAGGTTTTCTGTACATACATACAGTAAAGACCCGATACCAGGGAAAACCTCCATTGGCCTGTGGTGACATAAATGCGGAGCCCCAACGGGAGTGGATCCAGCACACCAGAGGTCCGGTTTTTCCCTCATTACCTGGCTAGGGGGGAATATAGTCTGTGATGTAGACTCCAGTTTCTCTGAATTGCGAAATCCCTAAATTCCATTCTCTGAACCAAATCCTCAGTGATCGGAACCCATTCACTGAATCATCGCTCTTTTTGTAAAACCATAAACAGTACTCAGCTGTCACAAGTTGCAGATCGCATCTCACAAATGTTTTTTGCCTCTTTCCATGAAATGATTGTGACAATGTGATTTATTCTTAGACAGATAAAGTGTATATCTTCTCAAAACTTTAGTAGTCAATCTCTTCCAAACATATCACAATGAAAATGAAACCACAATTAAACTGAAAACAAAATTATTCCAACTTTATGGGCAACAGTGTATATATGTATGTGTGTATATATATATATATATATATATATATATATATATATGTGTGTGTATATATATATATATATATATATATATATATATATATATATATATATATGTGTGTGTGTGTGTATAAATATATATATACAGTATATATGCATTTGCTGATACTACTAATACTAGGCTGAATGAATCACTTCTTGAGTTTGATTTAGCAGTTATATTTACAGTGTGATGTATTTTTCGTTTGTCTTTGTCCTTTTTGCCATTTGTCACACTCAGGTTTTCCAGTTTGTAAGAGCTGAATCCAGACATTTATTACTTTACTGCTTACAGTTCTTAAAGTAGGTTATACTGTAACTGTTACTGAGTTGTGAATATTTTTTCAGAAAACATAAAACGCCTTTACTTTATCACAAAGAGTAAACATTTCTGGAGCTACATGCTCTGAGTCAGCGGTTTGGTGAATGTAGTTTGAAAACTGGGTTTTGTGTTTACAGTTTTGAGAAACGCATTGAAGGTTTTAAAAAGAATGTGATTGAGTGACTGTGAAAAAACTGTGAGCTGTGAGGGCACCTGGTGATGACTGGAGGAATTGTAGCAACCATAGTCACTACTAGAACAGAGAGGACTGTGTAGTTTTTATTTTGGTGAAATACATACCGGCTATAACTTTCCCTGTGTCCGACTTCTCCCCATTTTGTCATTGCAGGTCTGGTGGAGTTACTGAGGGAATTACAAACTCAAAAGACTGTCATCAATATTACAGCAGTGGAAGAAGGAATGGCTGTTACCTGGAGGTTTCTGATCAGCAACTGTTTAAAACCTGCATTCTTGTGAATAATGACATTGGAAGGAGCACATTTGAAGCCCTCAACACTTCACTCGGTTGGTGTTGTCTCTAATAATTAATTATTGATGTCATTACATATTGTGAAATCAAATATAAAACGTGCTGTTAAAAATAATTTTATTACCAGTGACTGAATCTTGTTTTTAGTCTTTTGCAGTAAGTAAAATGTTGGATTTTATTTTATTTTTTTGTCCTTTTACAATCCTTTCAGTAGTACCTTCACCAAAGCTGAACATCACACAAGACAAGCATCTCCTCAACCTGAGCTGGGAAACTCCAAAGGTCGGGAATTTGAAATGTTGGACTTATGTATTTAACTACACAGAATGCAACAAGTCCATGGTAAGTTGTCAATTTTTACTTTTTATCCTAAAATTTTAAAAGTTCTTCCTCTTTTCTGTAACTAGGTTTTACATTTGCTACACCAACACATGTTGATGAAATGTGTATTTTAAGCAACACAAATGTGTTGGATTTTTATAAATTTCTGTTTAAATGATTTAATAATAAATAATGATTTTTGATTTTTATTGTTAATAATTAAGAATGATTTAATTATCTAAATTCAGATGACTATATATTTTTATTTCATCAAGGGTACATAGTTTCTCTATGACTGACAAAGTGCAACACTGTGGTTCTGTGTGCTTATTGTTTTTTAGAAAAGCCAGAAGACGACCACGAACACTTACAGTATACCCTACGATGAAAACTGCCTCTATGAGATCCAATCCAGAGTGGAGACTACAAAAATTTGCCAAACAATGAGGAGCGACTTGAGTGAAGTTGTAACTTATGGTAACTGTCCAACCAAATGTACTTACTATGATTTCTTTAAATTTATTAATACATCAGAACAAGATTTGTTGTAAGTGACATTGTTTTGCATTGTGTTTTTATATCTTATTTAAATAAGCTTCAAGCTTCAAGCCAATTGAACAACTACATAATTCTTGATATCTCATGAAACATGCACTGAAAAAAGTGGAATGATTTTGCCCAGCAGAACAGCAAACTGTACAATAAACTAGAATATACAGTGGCTAAAAAAGAAAGTGAGCCCGTTGAAATTATCTCCATTTATGGATACATTCGTTTTAAAGGAGCTAATTGTAAGTTTTGCTCTTGCTACATTGCTAATGTTAGCATTAACAGCTGTTTACTTACCTTACGTAGTCTAGAAGAAATGTTGCGAGATCAGCATCAAACTTCATTCCTTTACTCACAAAGAGCTGTGTCCAGTGGTGGAAAGCATCCCACTTGTTTAGTTTCTATTTCCATCACTTCTTTTCTTCTGCTGAAGTCGCTTTCCGATACCAAGTCACTATAGCATCTAGGCTGCTCAAAGGACGTGTATAACCTCTTGCATTGTAAACACAACAATGACAAAACATCTACTGATATAAACAAAAAAATGATCTCAGAAGTCTTACATTCATGTGGATTTGCACAAAGCTGGTTAGAGTTTAGATACTCATCAGTCCACAGTCAGACAAACTGTCTATAAATGGAAAAGATCAGCTAAACAGCTGTCCACCAGCTGAAGCTCAGTAGAGGTCGATGTAGCAGGACAATGACCCGAAACACTGATATAAATCTACTACAGAATGACTTCAGACAAAGAAAATGTTCCTTTTGGAGTTGCCCAGACCTTAACCCAACAGAGATGCTGTGGAATGACCTAAAGAGAGTCGGCCAAAGCAGACATCCTAAGATTATGTCTGAGCCGAGGCCGCTCTGTGAGAAGAATGGTCTGAAATTCCTTCTGAACATTGTGTAGATCTGATCTGCAGCAAGGGAAAGCTTGTTCGACGTTACTGCTGCCAAATTGCTGTGCTGAGTATGAACACAAAAGATTACAACTGCTGTTGAATCAGTGTAGAGTTCGGTCATGGATAAAAGGACATTTTAGCAGACGCCAACAGAAAATGTGTCTTGCACTGCTTGCCACGAAACGGCCGTGTTTGTAATAACCTGTCTCTGGATGTGTTCTGCAGAGGTAATCATCAGCCAATGAAGTAATTCACTCACTAATATTAATATAATGTTAACATCAATTTACATGTTGTAAATCTTTCCCAGATTTACACTAGGAAAGGGGGAAAAAAAATATTAAAAACACTAATTGATGAGAAAAAAAAATGACATGCTGAAAGACTGCAACTATTGCAGTGGGAGTTTCTCCACTTCCTTGCATGTTGCAACGATTTCCTATCAAGTATCACATCAGAATTGATTTGAGCAATCACAATGATGCTGCAGGATCTAGTGAGTGGGTTTGGGTGTGGGATTTTAGTGTCAGTGATCAAATTTCTGACTTGAGGGAGAGGGTGTGGAAAAGCTGACTTCTCTGATGTTCTTCACAGGTACTAACCGGCCTCGTGATGGGACGCTGACCGTGGTTGCCATTGTCATCCCCATCATCCTGTGCGTCTGCGTCATCCTGTCCTGCTACTGCTTCAGGAAGTATGTTTGCGAAACAGAACGCTCGGCTTACGTCTTAGAGTTTCACCTATCTGCCACAAAGTCTCACGGTGTCCAAATTGCTTTATGCTAAATTTTGTGGAACAGCGTTTGAGATGTGCAACAACAAAAACACATAACCGAGGTTATTGCAACATCTGAACCTTGTTCACACCAAATAACAAGCAGATGCTAATGCTTGTGGGTCACATTAGCTAAACACCAAAGAGAAAAATGGCCATAACCTGCCACAAATAGACAAACAATGAATCTTAAAAGTCATAGGAAGTTGCCTTTACTTTTAACCTGACTTTTTTTGTTTTATTTAATTTATTTATTTGGATCCCCATTGGCCACTACCAAAGTATCAAATGGTCTTCCTGGGAAAATTACATCATAGTGCAAAAACAGTGTAAATTAAAATTAAAAAACAAAAAAGGAAACAAGAGAATAACAACAAATATAAACAACAGTAATACTACTAATAACGATTATGACAACAGTGACTAGTTCCACGCTTTATCTAAAGTAAAAGTAGAACATTTGATACAGCTCAAAAAACAATAACAACACTGAAAAAAGCATATATAGTGACTGAAGAATAAAATGAGGTAAAAAAAAATTAAAAAACAAAACAAAAACAAGTTCCTCATTAATGATCATATTCAGATATTATGTAGTAAAACGTGTCCTGTTTGTAGAGGGGCTGGTGTTTGGTGCAATTAGATATTTCTTTAAACTCTTCATTTACTTGTTAAATGTTGAAATATCTGATTGCAAACCATTCCATGTTTTCATTCCTCTGTACATAGCAGTAGCTGCCTCGCATTAGTTTTAGAGACAGGAAGTAAAAAACAACCTCTTGATGCTTCATATTAAAGTTGTGGCCTTACTACAGCATAAAAATAGATTTTATATTGTAGTAACATATATTGTAGTAACAAATTAAAAATGTGTAGCTCTCAACTCGCCAAGAGTTGAGAAAGGTTCAACAGAACTTTATTGTGAGATGATTGGGCCGCCCCACCAGCAGGCACAAGCAGGCAGGTAGGTGTTTCAAATAGAACTGCAATAAAAAGAAGAGTTATAAGAAAGGAAAGTGCATCTGAAACTACTTCAAATTCTGTTTTCAAATTAAGATTCAAGTTACCTGTGGTAAGTTGCATATTGGACCGTCGTCAGCTGCCAAGCAAGTTGTGATGTCATAAAATCATGTTTGCACATGCCCGTGAGCAAAGAGAAAGTTTCCCATTGCAAAAGCAGTTCTCTTACAGCAAACTGCATACATGCGGGGGGACAGGGGTGGTGGAGGAGGGCGTTTCCAATTCACCGGAGGCCGTTCCAGAGATTCATGTCCCGGTCTGAACTCTTGCTGTCAGTGAAATCTAGACGTCTGGACACATTAAAAAAAAACATCTGTCGGCATAAATATTGTATTTTGGTGGTTCCTCTTGCTGTCTGTCACTGACATGCTTGTTGTGTTGTGTTCGTAGGCACAGTAACATCCTCTGCCCCATCATACCAGATCCTTCAGCAATATTCAAGGAAATGATGATGAACGGAAACAAAGAACATAAGGTGTGTCTTTAGGAGGAAAAAAAAAATGCAAATGTGTATGATGTACTCGCCTACCCTCTCTGTGTCCATAAACACTCATTACACTGTTCTTTTTTTTTTTGTTTTGTTTTCAGACAGGGAGTCTGTACACGCCGGTGCCAGAGCCCGTTGAACCGTGTAAAATTACCCTTGCAGCGGAAACCAGCGTCCTCCAGCAAAACTCCTGACATGTACATGTACACAGCAAAAAGCCTGCAGTCCAACTGGACGGCCGCTCCGGGCGAATTTCTTAAGGAACGTTTACAGGCTGAAAACCTTTGTTTCACTGACCTCCTCCGTTTGAAAGCATCTGCTGCACATCTGACAGGAAGTGCGGTTGGGGTGTGTGTTCTGTTGTGCCAGTTTTCTATCACCATGTGAGTACTTCATCTACTAGAGGGCAGCAAAAGCAAGGTTTTCGGCAGCTATTACAGTTAGTTTTTTTTCTTACAGTTGCTTAAGCACCATTTTGAAAACAGTTTTTTTCAAAACACTTAACACAATTCATAAAACCAAACACCCAAAGTGCAAAACTCCTCATATATCCAGTAAAATGAAGCACTGCATTCATAACTGAATAAACAAAATCAAGCTTTCAAACACTTCTTTCATATTACTTCTCAATTATTGTTGTTCAGTTGGTCAGTCAATCAACCAATCAATCAATCAGTCAAATGCACAGTACATCCTGCATTATGGTTGTAGGAAAAACAAAAAACCTTTATCAAACACAACAAACAGAAAAGAAAATTTGAGAGGAAAATATACAGAATTTTTTTTTTAAAAAAGACAAAAAAAAGATAGAAAATATTTTGGCTGCATCTCGCCACCTCACTGGGTCTGTCCACAGCGCCTCATCAATATCAGCGAGGGAAGAATCATATCCAGTCCTGGACAGCACCCACATCAGTATCATCACATGACTCTTCCATTGCCTGTTGAAGAGCCACATGCACATAGGGCTGACAGTCATACACCTTCCTCCACCGTGCAGAGAAGAACTCAACTGGACTGAGAAATGGAGAGTAGGGTGGAAGGTACTGAACAAGAAACTGTGGCTGGTCAGCAAAAGCTGTTTCGGATCAGGGCTGAACGATGGAAGCTGACGTCCGCCGGTATTGGTCTGTGTTGTATCGACCAAGGTTGGCATGGCAACGGAGGACAACGCCATCTACGTTGCGAACGATGCGAACGGAGAAGTGATGGACACAGTGCGACTGGCGGAATCCCGAACTGCGCAGAGTGAATGGTGTTCTGGTTACGTACCTGTGCTCAAGCCTAAATGTGTGGATGACAGAGGTAACAGTAACTAACGTAGCCCCGGACTTCATCTGAAAGCTGGGCCCTTTTTTGTCCTCGTCCTCTCCCTCCAGCTCCTCCTCCACCTCTCACTCTCACCTTCCCTCCACTTCTTCCTCTCACTGCTGCTCCAATTGTTGTTGTAAAAAATGCACCTTTTTATCATGCTTATATCCTGATAGATGAGTCAACAATGAAGCAGTTAGGTGTTTGGCCAGGTGGCATGTGTATTGGTCAGCTGGTCGGCATTTGTGGCATTTTTTCCAAATGGCAAACAAATGACTTCATGTCAGATTCCTGTGTTTCACATAGAGAATTGTGCGCAGTGAATTCCAAAAAGTGTCATGTTGAATTGCAATTTGGGTGCAGAGGTGAAAATGCGTTGAGAGTTTTGAAAGATGTGAGCTGAAGTTTTGCTCTATGAGTGTCAGTTCCAATCATTAAGCTTTTTAAATGTCTCATTTTTGTGTGTTAGCAACTGAATAAAAAACTGTAAGTTACTCTCTAAGGATAATCCAGGGACACGCTGTGATGACTGAGTGGGCTATTTCAAGGGTATTAACTGTCCTACCAGTAAGTGGAGCTGTTGTATGCCTGGATATCCGGTGTACAAGATACAAGAGCTGGCAAAGGAATTACAAGAAAATGCCCACGTGACTGCCATCAAGGCAGCCACACAATAGGCAGGAAGCAATAACCTCTGTGGTGGGAAAGTACTGCCTTCTTTCTACTGAGGGTGATCCCAAGACTATACTGTACTGTAACTGCCCCCATATGAGGAAGAAAGTTTGTTGTCTTGGCATGGATACAAACACTGTCTTATATGGAACTGAGGGGGTGAGTGCATGTCAAGTAGCACGGACCACTGTCCACTGTCAGTGCTGGGGGAAAAAAAAAGAAAAAAAAAAGGAAAAGAGACTTCATTTCTCAAGTGAAATTCAATGGAGAAGTGTGACTACGGTGGAATTCTGAATATCTAATCTTGAGAAAAATCTTAGCATCCTTATTTTTACTTTATTTCCCCCGGCAACTCATTATTAGTGCCTATCAAAAGGAATTACACTTTGTTGTCAGTCAGGAAATAAACCTGACCTGCATGAACTTTGCTGGCAAACGCTGATATTTCTGACATCAGCGTCTAGATACCAAATGTCCTGTATATTTGGGATGCTAATAACAACTTTTTCTTACAAGAATTAATGTGACTTGTCTCTTCAAAATCAGACCTGTATTGTTAAGAAGTGTTTTCGACCTTTGTACACAACCTTTTGGACAGAAAAACAAAGATACATAGAATTGTGAAAGCATCTGAGCATACATTAAACTTATTACAACATGGCTGTTAGGTCTGTTGATTTTGTGTGATCTTCTGTCTGCTTTCTCATTCACCACACACCCAAATACAAAATGCCATTTCATCATTCATAATGCACTGTTACTTCCTTAAAGGTGCTATATGAAAGATTGTGAAGCATTTAATCGCTTTTTTTTATCGCCAATATATGTGAACAGATTGTTACATAACTTAAAACTTAAGACTTTCTCATTTGCCTATAACAGTATGTGGGCAGAATTCTATGTAAATGGCCAACAGTGTGCAACACTATAAGGCTGGGATATATGACTTTATATCAATATTACGATTATTTCAATTTTTTTTACCTCAATAACTTAATGAGCAATTACTTTGGTACTTATCAGACCTCTCTTTTTTTGAGCCATTCGTTCTTCATATTTGGCAATGTGATTCTGTTTAAAATGATTAATCCCATATGTTGCATTCACCACTGTCACGTAGAGTTGTGACAAATAAAACCCGATCAGAAGGCGAGCCTGGTGCGTCATTGTCTCCAAGGGTCTCTGTTCCTGCATGTCTGGACTCGGGACGTAGCCTGAGGCTCAGTGTTTGCGCTCTTGTCATGCATATCATCAGCTTTGCTTTGAGTAAACGCTGACTAACATCAGTTGGATGGGGCCGGGGCATGTGACTGATCATAACATAGTATTTTTTAAAGGGCACAAGTACTTGAACGCAGCATTGGGGAAAGTATCAACCGAAATAACCGACATAAGCAGGACTTCAGTTTCTAAATATCGGTTATCAGTTAATTATCAGTAGAACGAAGAACCAACTCCCAGCAAAAAACAAAACATCAGTTCTTTAGAACCTGTTATTTACTAGATTTTTTTTTGTGTAATAACTGTTGTTACTTTAGCGTTATCATTGTCTCAACCCTCTGCCAGACCTATAACATTACATGACAATATGAAAGGTCAGTTCTATTATGCTCATCAGCACAACATCAGCTCTCAGTAATGAAGTGTGCCAACACATTTATAATAAAATGCTCTCGCTATACGATCCCTGTCATTGTAAACCACAGAAAATGCAGACAGCGAACAACTGAAGGGGGAGAGGACCTGTCACCTGCGCCCAGTGTCTCTCGCCCCTGCTGATGTCTCTGCTTAATGTTCGCTCCATTGCCATCGCTGGCGTTCCTCCAGTGGTTTATTTATTAGGGAGTACTTTCTGTTTCTCAGTGAAAGTTTGCAGAGGAAGGTGGAATATTCACAGTGAATGCTGTCCTGCAGACTGTGCTTTTTTAAATGTTTGGATGCTATCGAGATTTGGATGGCTGACTTTGCTGCCTTTAGCTAAACGTTAATAAGACAGATGCTCTACTAAATTGTTCCCGAAATTCTATTTCCAAACATCAAGAGTTTATGTAGAAGCTCTTGTTTATTATTATTATTTAGGGAACATTGGAAAATTAAGATCTGGGATGACCAAGGCTGAGATGGAGTTTATATTTCTTCTCATTAAGCTCAGCCTTTCACTATGAAAGATTACACATGACAGCAGTTTTGTCCTGTCTCCTGGCTTCCAATCAAATTCTCCATCCATTTTAAAATACTGCTGCTAACCTTTAGAGCCATGTATGGGGAAACAGCCCTGACCTCCTTTTCCAGTTCCAGTTGGGCTCTTAAATCTGCCGAACAAAAATGACTGGCTTGTCCCTTGGACCTGAGGTGACTGTACTTTCTAAGCTGTACCATCCAATTTAGGAAATGCTGTCCTTATCAATGCCATTGCCAGACTATTGTAAAAGCATGAAGCAGCTGACAGTGTTTTTATTCAGATTGGCTTTTGGTTAGCCTGTTTGAATAGCTGCTCCATTTTATTTTATTGCTTTTTACTGACCTATTTCCTCGTTTGTGTTCGCAACTTTTGAACTCCTTTATTGACGTAAAGCACCTTGCGATTTTGTATCTGTGAAAGGTGCTATACAAATACATGTTACTTCCCTGCTTACTTAATAGTACAGGCCAAATAGAAGAAGTAAGGATTGTCAGTGTGTCAGTGTGTCAGTGTGTCCTATCTCTCTGTCAGACTATACATTTTGATTTGTTTTTCCTAATATCCACATTTTAATTTTCTTCCCTGGATTGTTGGGTGGGGTGTTCACATCTTTGTCACCTTTTCACCATCTCTGGCGGGGGATTACATGCCTCTGACAACCAAGCAGTGGCACATTCCAGTCTCTGCTTTTTTCTTTGAGATAACAGTTTCATTGGAAATAATGGACCTGTCACAGCTTGTAAATATTGTTAATAGATTTTTTTTGGTTGTCAAAAAATGACTAGAACATGGCACCTTTTAAAAATGATTTAAGAACTGTATTGAACAGTTTGATTAATGTTAATGAATGATTTACTAAGAACCATGAATAACTCGGGTTACCATTTGCCATTTGTTACAACTCATTAACGCTTTACTGAAGTTGCTTTATTAGAGATTGGTACCAAAAAAGTCATATTGTTTCACTTGGACTGCTCTCTTTTTGACACGCCTGTAGACTAATATTTCAGGGAAACGCATCATAGCCTTTTGTTATTCTTCTTAGTCGCAGTAACTGAAAGCATATTCACTGGCGTAAGTCCTCATCAAAAGAGAAAAAAAAAAAAAGAAAAAGAAAAAAGGAAGCACTCCGCCCAGCTCCAGCCCTCTGCAGTTACATGACCTTATCCGAAGAAGCTGGAAGCGAAAATCGATGTGAAACACTGAAACAAGTACGAAGACTTTCTTCCCTTTTTTTTTTTCCCTTTGCGTTTCTTTGAAACCGGCGACAACAGGCTGGACAACAGACCGCTGTCTGTTTACAGGAGCGAGCAAACGACAACGCTTTTCGTCCTCACAGAAACAGCTGTGGAAGAAGAAACTTTATAGAGGACGTCTCCAAAACTATGAGCAGGATGTTTAACAGTTTGGACCTGTTCGTCGTAGGCTGCCTCTTTCTAATGGTTGAATCCCAAACAGGTAAGGAAGGACACGTATATCTCTTGCCTTGTTTGACTTCTGTGAGATATTGTCCAGTTTTGCCTAAGAGTAGCCTACGTGTGTTTCCCGGTACTGACGTCACGACTGGTATCTGTCGTTGAACAGAGAATCTGACCAGGCTAGGCTATATGTAGATCTATGAATTTCAAACACCTACATTTCAAATGACCTACCTCTTAGCTCATCAGCCCAGGTTGGTGGTGAGATGGTCAAGTTTAGGGTGGATGTATTAGTAGTTACTAAAAGATGTAATTTTAGCATCCATAATGGAAATGTTCAAATGTTTTACATGAATTTCCCCGAGGGGATAAATAAAGTATCTATCTATCTATCTATCTATCTATCTATCTATCTATCTATCTATCTATCTATCTGTGTTTAAACAAATGCCATACCCAAATGTAATATATGCACATATAATGAATTCCCATATATGAAACATAAAATAAAAACATATGTAAAAAAAAATGTATAAACCTATTAGAAAATTGGAACTTATACTTATGTCTAACCTATACAAATGAGTATGTTTAGGTATGTATGCGTATATTGCAGATACTGTATATTTGTATACACCATGTTATACCATAAAAAAATCATCATAGATTATATGATATATGATATATATTTTAACATATGTACATATACAAACTTTACTATGGGTATTTCATATATTTTATAAACTGATATCTTCATATATCCAGGACATGTATATATGTGATAATAATACAGCCCCTTATAGATGACATATATGGCAACATCACTCTTGTTATACACACTCACTGGCCACTTTGTTAGGCATGTAGACATGGTCAAGACAACCTGCTGAAGTTCAAACCGAGCATCAGAATGGGAGAGAAAGGCGATTTATGACTTTGAACATGGCATGGTTGTTGGTGCCAGACGGGCTGGTCTGAGTATTTCAGAAACGGCTGATCTACTGGGATTTTCACGCACAACCATCTCAAGGGTTTACAGAGAATGGTCTGAAAAAGAGAAAATATCCAGTGAGCGGCAGTTCTCTGGGTGTAAATGCCTTGTTGATGCCTTAGGTCAGAGGAGAATGGCCAGACTAGTTCGAGCTGATAGAAAGGCAACAGAGACATCAAATAACCACTCGTTACAACCGAGGTATGCAGAAGAGCATCTCTGAACGCACAACAAGTCGAACCTGTAGCCCTTCTACAGCAGAAGAAGACCACGCCGGGTGCCACTCCTGTCAGCTGAGAACAGGAAACTGAGGCTACAATTCGCACTGGCTCACCAACATTGGACAATAGAAGATAGGAAAAACGTTGCCTGGTCTGATGAGTCTCGATTTCTGTTGCGACATTGGGATGGTAGGGTCAGACTTTGGCATAAACAACACGAAAGCATGGATCCATCCTGCCATGTATCAACGGTTGAGGCTGGTGGTGATGGTGTACTGGTGTAGGGGATATTTTCTTTGCACACTTTGGGCCCCTTAGTACCAATTGAGCATTATGTATGGGACAGGACACTGATCAGGCATGATAGAGAGGTCAAAGATAAAGGAAATAACATAGGGTGACATGAGTAGATACCCTGCTCTCCCAGGTAGGAATATCACTCTCATCTCAAGCTACATGGGAGTCTTTACTCAGTTTTAGTTTGTTCACGTGATGATTCTCTGGAAGCTGAGACATTTCCGTGAAGCACAGCTGCTCCTTTGGGTGAACACATAATACAGCGTTGACAGAACAGAAAGGTACACAGAAGTCCTATGTTAACAGATTTCTGTAATTTCTCTTTCTTTACCTTCAGGCCAAATCTTACCACCACAAAATTTGTCTGTGCTGTGGAGAAAGGAATTTCAACCAGAGTTTACCTGGGCATCACCGCAGCATTCAGTATCAAATTGCACCTATCAAGTGATGACACAAAACAAGGACGTAGGAATCCAAAAAATATTTGTAAGTACGAACATTATTTCCCCACTCAGTAAACTAATTCTGTCTAAAAGCTATGCATGTTGTTCATTAAAGGTTTTATGAATGCAGCTCCTTTAAATCTGCATTGTGTTTGACCGCACCACCTACAAAGTATCGCACCGGTTGTTATATTATATTAAGTGAAGGGTCCTAAGATACAGCAGTTTAAATATTTCCAGGATTTATGTATATCAATGCACTCCTGTGAGCAGAGCTAATTCAACTATAAAAGGGTCGTTAATAAACGTACACTATCTTTAGTTTTTGCATAAACAACCACAATGATTACAGGATGAAGCTGGCTTTGTTATATTTTATCTATTAATATACTTTTATGTTATTAAACTGTCTGTGTATAGGAGAATTCCTGTGGTAGACAGCAATGTACACCATTAAAATCTCTTCAAACAAAAACTTAAGCTACCAGAATAAGACGCTGAAGCCTTAAAGGAGCCATTTGTAAGTTTTCCTATCGCTACATGGCTAGCGTTAGCATTAACAGCTGTACTTAGCAGCCTAGAAGAAACATAGCGAGTTCAGCATCAAACTTCATTCCTTTACTCATCAAGAGGTGGAACACCAGTGTTAACCCTCCTTTCTAACACGTCTTTTCTTCTACTGAAGTTAGCATGCTAACCAGCTAACCCCGGCCCGTCTCGTCACTTTCTGATAGCAACTCACTGTGGCCTCCAACCCGCCTTGAGGACATAGTGCTACTCACAGGGCTTATTATAATCTTTTGTATTATAAAGACAATAATAGTTGAAGCTCTTGTCAAGCGGCAATCACCTCCACCTTCCTCAGCAGCAGAGAAAACTTATTAATAGCCTCTTTACATAATTGAGTAAATGTAGAAATGCAATAATGTAAAATATATTCCATTACGATTGAAAATTCAAATTCTTGAACTTAATACATAAGTTTCATTATTGATGAGTAAGCAGCATTTAAATGTTGCAGCAAATTTGAACTATACTGCTGGGTATTTCAGTCCGTAAGAAAGAGATCAGAAGCTGATCGTGTGTGTTATATGTAAAATCTTATTCTGCAGAGTAACTAGTAACTGTAGCTGTAAAATAAAAAAAAACACAAAAACAATGTTTGCCTTTGAATTAGAGGGGAGTAGAAGTAGGTAGTAGTTGCATATATACAAAATACTTGAGTACAAGAGGCTCAGAATTGTATTTAAATACAGGTCTTGTGTCAATGTACATAGTCACTTTCTACCAATGACTATATTCAAATTCTAGATTTTGTCATAGAACACCTTAATGACCTGCCTTTCTTACAATGCTTGCTTGCTCATGCTAAAAAAGGTCAATAACTTTTTTTTTTAATTAAAAAGTTTTTTCTGACACAGCTCCACAGCTGCCTGTTACCTGTAAAGTGCTAGATTGTCTCAGTGTAATGCTACTGATGATGGTTTGACTGTTTTTATTTTTATTTGTGTGTGTGTGTGTGTTTGTGTGTGTGTGTGTGTGTGTGTGTGTGTGTGTGTGTGTGTGTGTGTGTGTGTTTCTCTGCTGTTGTAAACAGTTGAACGTTTCCCCTCCCTGGTCAAGCTACATAGTGATGGAAGGAGGATTTCTGCAGCTGTCTGTTCAAACTGTCTGTAATGGCAAAGAAAATGAGCGGGCTTTCTTCAACGTCTCTTACCCAGGTAGCTCATTTTGCTCACCATTACGGTGTTATTATTGCTAATAACACCCGATTTTGTTTTCAAACTTTGAATGCTTTTAAGTAGCTTTTTGAGACACATATCAATGTCTGTGTATTTATTTGTTCATTGAGATGTGTGTATGCATCCCCTTCCTCCCAGAGATGGTGAAGAATTTGCAGTGCTACGTACGTTCCTCCAAACAAACTGACTGCTCCTGGGAGGCAGCCATTCCCACTCCTGATCTCAGTTTTTTCTATCGGTATGTACTTTGTTTTATATTGTGTTTTTTTATATATATATAATGTATTATACTTATTCAAAAAAAGTACAGTGTGAGTATAAGTGCTGTACATACAAGTTTCTCTCAGAGAAGTTAAGTAAACGGAAACTCACTATTACACAGTATGTGTGAGTAAGCTGTATTGCAATATTTCCTGCTAGACATGGGTAAACTTTAGTTTCCTAACATATGAGTCAGTGTGGACCCAAGTGTAAGTAATGAGCTCGGGTTCAATTATTAATGGCTCAGCTTGTTATCAGTCCAGGTGGGTGTCAGTTGTTTATTGACTATATGAGGCTTATATTTGTTGAGGTCCAAGCCATACTTGGTAATGTAGCGTTAACTGTTATCTCCAACCAGCCATAACCAAACAACCATTAGCATGACTACAAATCCAAAGCTGAGAAGCAGATTCATGATCAAATGTTTAAACTTATAGCATCATCAGCATATACTCCTGTAAAACTTTCAATATGTTCAGTTTATTTTTGAATTCACAAGGTTAAACTTATGCAAGCCAATCTGCAGTAAGTCACACATGTGCAAGTCACAAGCAAGTCCCAAGTTACTATGGCTAGAATCAAGCAAGATAAGTTGAGACCCTGCTGTTTATCAAGCAAGTCACAAGTGAAGTTATATGAAATTCTGATGATCAACCCCAGTTTCCACATTTAAATCAGTTAAAAGACGGAGGTCATGAAAAGTTTAGTTTTACTTTCAACATTAACAAAAACTGTTGCAGCTGCTTACACCTGATAAATCTTGCGCATATTTGACATCTTGTTGCAATATGTGGCATGTATGACTGCAGCCACCCACTGCTTCAATTATTATTATTAGTTCCACCCAGGATGTTATGTTGTCACCCATGTCTGTATATTTGGCAGCAAAAAGCACTGAACCGATTTGCACCAATATTGGTGGAGGGATGGGACATAAGCCAGGGAAGAACTCTTTCAGTTTCGATTTAGATCTGGTTAAAAGGGCGGATCCGGGAGTTTTTTATCACTTTATTTGATGTGGAGGATTGTTTGGCCTTGGTGGAGATATGTGCTCTACTTGTGTGCCATTCTAGTTATTACTATTACTATACATCTCTATGTGGAACCTGCATTGTGCTCTGTTCTCTTTCCTCCTGCAAAACTAATTTTAGTATTTCTGGACTTGTCATGATCTCTCCCCGTGGTCACCAGTTTGCAGGCATCACACTAGAAATCACCCAATCATGTTTCAGAAACAAAATATAAGTTATCTAAAAAAAATAGCTCTAGTAAAATACAAGTCAAAAGTCAAGTCTCAAGTCATAAATACCAAATCAAGTCATCAGTGTTGGTCAAGCAAGTCTGAAGTCCTCAAAGTTGTGACGTTTATTATATATATATATTATTTATTTATTGAAACCTTATGTATTGGTTTTAAACACTTTATATCTACTTGATATAAGGTGTTTTGTATGAAAACCCCAAGTTTTTAATTTTACCAAGTGTCCTGTATTACAAAAACATGTCTGGCATTTTGTAACAAAGCAAACCGCTTGAAAATCAGTTGACAAGGGTTATGATGATTGTACTTGTGGATAGAGTACAGCACCTGCCTGCATTAGGAGGCGCGGCTTCACTGTTACAAACCTACAGTAAAATCAGTCAGTCCTCGCCGTTTTACTTGGCTTTACGGACATCTGTTTTACCAGAACAACTTAGCTAAAGGACAATAAAAGAATGCTGTTGGATCACACTACTGTGGCCCATTGTCTTAATAGCACCTGCAATCGAATCCTCATCATGACTGACTGCAGTGCCGAATATGATTCATATCATAAATCAACAGGAAAGTTTAATCATCACTGAGAAGTTACTACAGGCTTAATGGTTAACCTTACTCCTCTTTTGGAAAAATCCAAAAAGATTTAGTTGTTTTTTTCCCCCTTACATTCTACCATTTCTCCCTGAACTCCTCCAACTATAATTTGAGTCACGCTATTACGTCACTCACTCGCTCACTCGCTGACCACTGACCATCAGACTCTGCCACGGCCATGCACACAAACACAGAGCTGTTATGTTACAAAGACTACAAGACTTATGTTAAAAATTATATCCGGGGCTACACTCAAAGCATCTGAGGCTTGTGCCCTGGTAAATTACTGACTCACTTTCAAACATGGTTGATGTTAATACAGTTTGTCAGTTGGTCAGAAAAATTCTTATCTTGCATTCATGAGATTACACATGGTGAGAATTTTTGACTCAATAGAAACAAAAGATTTGAGCTTTGGAAATCTCAGGTCACAGCTGAGCAAAAAAAAACAGAGTAACAGACCCGCAGTGTTCAGCTGTTTTAGGAAATTACTGAGCGCTTTTAAAAAAGTAAAGCCTTTGCATTGATGACCTGAATGTAATGACTTGCATCTGAAGTAGGAAGGGATGTGCTTGGAGCTGATGGGCTGAGAGCCACAGGCATTGTGGGAAAGCATTGAGTATTGAGAAACAGAGGGACAGAGTAACAGCTGGTCCTGAAAATAACAAAGCAACTGTATATGTTTAGGCTACTGTGAGAGATTAGTTATGTTATTTTTTTTTAACTATTTCCCAACTAAACAATGAGCCTTTATTCTCCCATGCTATCTGTTGATCAGTCAGTGAGCGCAACCAGCTAGTTGTTACTTTGTTTGGCCGCTCAGGAGCCGCGGAAACAAGTTGTGAACACAACACTGGCACATCATCACCTTTGTGTTAATCTTGTTTGAAAACAAGCGTTAATAGTAGTAGTATTTATGGAGCAACATTAGCATTCGTTTGGAATTGTGTCCAGTGTTTGCTCTCTTTTTTTTTTTTTTTTTAGCTCTGTGGGAAATATCAGGCTCTTAAGCTGCTAAATGCTCCACTGTGTTCACAAGCTAGTTGCTAACTGTGTCTGCTTGCTTATTGGTGCTGAGTTTACAGTAGAGCTTTTTTTTTTTTCCACTGAGAACAGCTGAATTGTGCTGCTGAAAGTTACACAATGAAACTATCAAAACACGAGCACGTTTACAGACCGGATTGATTGGCTGAAACTTGTAAAGCTCCAGAGCAACAGATTTTTAGTGATAATTCTCTATGAAAGACCACACTACCAAAGATTTAATGTGTGTGTTAAAGTTTCAAAATCTCTGCAGAAGAACTAGTTTAACCTCATTTATTGTATTTCTTGGCAGGCTGCACTAACTTCCTGGAGTGTTGTTATCAACATGAGGCTGCCAGGCAACTCGCAGAAACTCCAGGAAATCACTGCACCCTGTCAAGACAATAGTTAGAGCACCTAACAGTTGGGTGGTTTGGTTTTTGTATGGATTAAGTAAGATATAACATGTTAGTTATCGAGCTTAAATGTGATAGAAGGCTATATTTGGGTAGTGTAGCTGTTTGCCCCTGTTTTCCAGCTGCTGGCGATGGCTTCATATGTAAGAGACAGACAAAAGAGTGGTATCAGTGAATAATGAAAAAGCATATTTCCCAAAATGTTGAACGTTCTCTAACTTTATTGAACTAGTAGTAGTAAAATCTGGCCTTATTTAAACATGTGTTCATTTTATCAATTCATTGTTTAATTTACTTCAGTAGTGTGCAGTTTGAAAGTTAATCACTCCTTTTCTTTGTTTTTCCAAGATTAGTGGATGAAGATTTCACTGTATCTGTTGGGGACAAGTCCTTGCCACCCTTACGAGAGTGCCCATCGTACAGTTCCACCGAGGGCGTGAGGACTGGTTGTAAACTGCAGGCGAAGGTCACACAGAACATCCACATCTTTTTTAACGGAACAGTGAACAACACAGTCTACAGGAACACCTTCACAAAAGATCTTTGGGATGATGGTACGCAACAAGCAGACTGAGCCGAGCTAATTTGATATCAGGAGTTCCACGGAGGAAATATTCTGTTGAAATATGCTGCGCTTCCCCATTGAGTCTCACGGTCGCTCTCTGTCCTTTCTTAGTTATTGTGTGGTGAGAATGTGTGTGCGCATGTGTCTCTTTGTGTGCCTGTACTTGTTCAACAAGGGGTGTGACGCAATCCAGAACTTACAGCTTTAGACTACACAGATTGCAGCCATTTTAGGAGAGCAAAAATGTGTGTGTTTGTGTGTGGGGGAGGGGAGAGTTTTATGATTGGGTGACACTGGATTGTGGTTACTATCGCTCTGTCTTGTCTCTCCCTGCACAGTGAGACCACCTCCCCTTAACTGGACGGTCATTAAGCATAGGGATAAATTCATCATCAGCTGGATTCCTCCTGACACTGGAAATCTGACATGGAAGTTCCTAATTAATTACACTGAGTGTGTTAATACAACGGTAACTGTCTTGAAATTCATGCTGTGTTTTGTTTAGTTGTTGTACACAATAAGTCAATGGACACAAACAACAACCATGAATAATTTGAACCGAATACTTAATTGTCAAATTGAATCACTACTGAATAGTTAATATTAAAATTAAAACACCACTGAAGTTTTAGCACTGACATTTTTTTATTTGAAAAACCATCTAAATTAAATTATATGGTTCTAATTTCCTGGTATGAAATTTCCAGATGGTAACCCAGTGTTGCCATGTGGTGTACTGGAAACATCCGGTGTTTCTGTCCCTGATGTAAAAAACATGTTGAATTATTTTTCTTCCTTCTGAAAACATTTGCAAAGCTGATGTTTTTGATATTTTAAAATCCTTTGAAAATGGTAAATGGACTTGGACTGCATGTACATAGTGTCTATATAATGCTTTACAATATTGCTTTTCACCTTCATTGAGTTACCACACAAAGCATTGGCGAACAACTTAGGGTTTGGTGTCTTGCCCAGGGGAACTTTGACAGCCGGGGGGTCAAACTTCAAGCCCAACCCTCTGTTAGTGCGTTGCTATTTTTCTCGTAGCATGACCACCACCAACCGTTGATGAGACGAATAGTGTCCAACCAGCAGCAGCAATATGAATTGCCTTGGCCACATTTTCCTCATGTTTAGAGGATGATGCTCCCTGGCTTTGGTGATCACCTGACTTTTCCAGCTATTGTATGGATTGTCATGAAATCTGATGCACTGATGAGCCCTACTGACTTAAGGGTCCCATATTGTATAAAGGAAGATTTCCATGTCTTCTTTGATTACAAAGCAGGTCGAGGTTCTATATTAATACTGTGAAAGTATCAAAGCGCTCAGTCCACAGAGAAATGAACACAGCCTGTATTCAGACACTGAGCCTTAAAACCAGCCGTCAGGACTTGTATCTAAATATCTAATATCTATGTATCTATGTGATGGATCGAGACCAAATTTTGTAGCAGCATCCCAGAGTATGAACTTTCCTCTGAATTTTCATCGGGCGACATTTGTTTCTTTTATGACCAATTTCCTGCAAAACTAACTAAACAAACTAACACAGAGCCACCAGTGTGATTTTAGACTCTTAGTCTTGTTTCAATATTCTATCCTCATTTGTAAACCCTGAAAAAGCTTAAATCAATTTTTGGAAGTGACACAACTTGAAATTACCTAGAGAACTTTAAGACAAACAGCATATAATCAGAATACATAATTGCATATAGATTGTTTTCAGAGCAATAGATGTTAAATTTAAATTCAGATTATATAAACTTAGTGGTTACATTCACCATAAGGTATGAAGGTGCCTCTAAGCTTAATATTTATTCATATATATATATATATATATATATATATATATTCATATTTGCCTCTATTGAATGTAGTCATATTGCCATATCTATTATAGAGCTGATTAATCACTATTACAATCGTGCCTTCATTTTCTCACAGACTAAGACCATTGAAAGAAAAACATCAGCTCATCTGAACCTGGTTGCTCACTGTCAGTATCGCATAAGGATTCGAGCAGTGCGTGGAAGATCTAGTACGCCATGGAGTGACGAGAAGTATTTTGGTAGGTCATCGTCTCTCTCATCTTTATAAAGGAACTGTTTAGAGCCTCCATGTGAAGGATTTGAAAATGTTGCTGCCATCTAGAGGCTGCTGTAAGAATGATACTGCGGCAGAGAGGAAATCTATCCCCCGGAAGCTGCACTTGGGTTTGAAGTTCTCTGTAAAAGCGCTGGGTTTAAATTGTTACTTGAAAGCTGATCATGGTGCTACTGATGTTTTTGCAGATGCAGATACAGATCCTAAAGCAATGGTGTATCTTGCCATTATCATCCCACTGATGTTTGCTGCCCTGGCAATCCTGATTTTTGTGTGTTGCAGGAAGTATGTGAACTCTGCACCTTTTTCGCTTGGCTCCTATTGATTTGTAGTCTTCTTCTTTGCCTCTAATATTTGACTCTCACTGTGCAGGAATAAGGAACATATCTTCCCCAAAGTACCACAACCTCGGGACTTCCTCAGCGATATTTCCGACAACAATAATAAGGTGACTGTTTTTTCTTAAAAATTCTCCTGTCTCCTAAAATAATTACAGGACTAGTGAGACATTTTGGGAAGTGCACATTTTCTGTCTTACCCAGACAGTTAAGGATGAGGAGGAGGACTGTGAAAATGACACATTGTGTTATTGTGCCAGGTGCGGTAACTTCATGTAGTCTGGCTGCCTGGCAACCCCCTTAAAATAACATCGTATCATTTTTACACATTGCCTTTTTTTCTTTTTTCTTTTACAGATTAAAGTGTCAAATATTGACCTTTCGTCTTTGTGCTAAGCTAAGCAAACAGCAAAAAAAGGAAATGCCCAAAATGTCAAACTATTCCTTTAACAATGACATCAGTAAAGTTAGTTAGAGAAAAAGATGAACTGGACAAAATAAAAATAAAACATAAATATATAAATACAATGGTATTTGGTGGTATGGTAATATAATGGTTGGGTTTTTAAATGCAACACTTGAGTTTGGCTTTCTCTGACACACACATTTTTTCTTCTTCTTTTCCTCAGAGCACTGTTTGCGATCTGTACATCCCAGCAAAGGAAGAGGAGAACTGTAACATCACTCTGGTGATGGATCCCCAAATCAATAATACAGAAAAAAAAGACACACAATAAGACACGATACTGCCAAGTCTGCAGTGATAGCAGCTCGCATCTGGAATAACTTCGGGGGTCTCCCAGAGTCTTGTTGATCTGACTGACTGAAGAATGGAAACTTTTACTGTTCAATTGATGAATCCAGGCACAGACTTTGGACCCTTTTTTTTGTGGCACGTTGAGTGAGTCAAGGGAAACGTCAACCCGAACCTCCTTTGCACAAAAAACACTGGCAGCTACCACATTCAGGTGCAATGTTGTTTGCAAATTGATGCAGCTGAAATCCAACTTCACTCGCTATTATTTAGACAGGTGAAGTAAGTTACACTGAATGACACGGCACTAAGTTGAATTCACATTCTAACCAGTCCTCCAGTAACAATTCCAGTCCTTATCACCATGTCATGTTTGCAACACCAGCAGTACTAACCCATTAGTTACAGTAAATTTGTCCTTTTTTTTTTTTCCTCTATAATTCCACCTTACTTACATTACTATAGCACCCGTGACGCTTCATGACCAAATAAATATGTCTCCTCGGACACATGCAGTTGCCGCAACCGCAGCAGCGAAGCATCAGTGGAAATGGCCAGCAATGGGGAGTTCGGTAATACTGAATGAAGAACAAACTGTGATCTATTCCACACAACCACGTTGTCCCTAGAAGTTCTGCAGCAATACATTTTCAATGAATTTACTTTTTTTGGGAAATCAGTTAATTGTTTAAGTATCTAACAAACATTACATACGTAAATACTAAACATTTGCTGGTCCCAGCTTTGCATGAGGATGCAAGAATTTCTTGCTTTTCTTTTCTTTTCTTTTTTTTTAATCATATTAAATGCAATATCTTTGTAGTAACAGAGTCAGAGAACACAAGCAACTTCATCTTTTGCTTTGGGGAACTTTTATCAGTGTTTGTTTGTTTGTTTTTAAACATATAACATACTTGGTTTGATTCTATTATAAAACTAAGCTATTAAGGCTCATTTACTGTTCAGCTTTTCTACTGATTAATGACTGTCCCTGTCAACTAACCAGAAAAAGTCAAATAAATAGAATACCAAGCAAGCCAGTCTGATGTATACAAATATACAATACTTGTACATGTCTCAAGGCCAACATCTCCTCTGGTCTACCATCATCAGTTCTCGTCCAGTCATCCTTCCTGACTTGGGAGATTAATAAATATCACAATTACAGCGCAATAAAATGTTTTGATATACAGGTACATTGTTGGTATTTCATTGTATCCAATCCAATGTTTGTGGTTTAACTTCTCCAGGGATTTCCTTTATGTCGGTGTTTAGGTGTTTGTAGAGCTAAAACTCACCTGAAAGTGTATTTCATTTGCTAGGTTGAGAACACAATGAAATACGTATAATTAAATTAATTTCCTCCCTCTCATGTACCATGAATGTGAAATGACTGAAGCACTTCTGTGTAAATACTGATGTATCAATATTGAAATTGTTGCCAGTTTGAATGTCCACTTGTGAACGGTTTATATTTGATTTTACGTTCTTTTTTAAAAATATTTTTGAGTGTTTGCTTTGTTGTGATTTCATTTGCATGTGACAGTGTCCATGTGATAATTATGCATCCGGAGCCAGCAGCAGGTTAGCTTAGCTTAGCTTACTAATACTTTTTTTTCTTTTTTTTAAGGTTATGAAATAAAAAACAGTAGATTGGATTTGCCATCATGTTGAGCTTTTAACACGGCGTTAATGACTTGGAAGATATGCAGTGATACTTTTTTTTTTTTTCTTGAGCTGATTATTTGACACCAGTTAAAGTTGAGTGTTTTTTAAATGTATCAAACAGCATAAAGTGTTAATATATCCGTTTTTGTTGTTGTTATAATCACTTATGAGTGTTTATGTTCTGTTTACTTATTTTAAATGCAAATGATGATCTGAAACAATGTACTGCATTTTTGATTTAAAAGTCTAATCATTTATTTGATGATGTTTGCCCTCCCTCAACTTATTTCTGTCCTGCTTTTGACTTTTATTGTTGTTGATTTGTTTGTCAAATCATTATTATTACTATTATTATTGTTATTATTATTATTAATTTGTACATTCTGTCATATATGAACCAAATCCAGAATACAAAGTCAGAGTTACAGTCATCTAGTTTATAAGGTGGATAGAGAGTTTACAAGCCTGAGCTCACAAGTTTAGTTTTGTGACTAAAAATAACAAGGTGCTGTATGATAACATTTTCACACTATTCACAAGTTTAAGAAGTTTCTCATCCGCTTCTGCAAATCATGATACTAATGAGTCTCATCTCGGTGTCATTTCCTCGAATCAACTGCAAGTTTATAAGTAAGTCTGCGTGTGAAGCGTCCTAAGGATTATTGATGAATGGTGAATACAGTTGTTTCCTCATGCAGACCCATAAGTAACCAAAGCACAGCATATGTGGGTAAGTAGACCGGCGTAGAGCGTCAGAGCTCCAGTCTTAAGAAAACCAATTTAGACAGATCAACAGAGTCCAAAGCAAAACGGAAATTTAAGAAATTGAAGACTTGTAGATTTTCAGATGTTTGAAGGAGGGGATTTTTTTAGATAAACAGAAAAGTTTCACTTCTCCTCAGTTTAAAACCAATGAAACTCAATTGGTCAACTTTAAAGTCAAACAGGGAAGTTTTGAAACTGGTTTAAAATGACTACATTCTGGGTCCAGTGACTTTTCCAAGAACAGTTGAACGAGTGCATTCCTGAAAATTCCTGAGATGCTACTTTCTTTTACCAAGCTTTTTTTTCCTGCTGTGTGGACATACTGTAATCTAGATACAGTCATCTTACAGTAATATATAACTTATCTCTCTGGGCCCATGTTGTGTGACAGTGATTCAGCATCAGTGGATAACTCCTGGCAGGTTTTAATGATGATTTGAAACTTACTAAGGCACATGTCTGTTGTGGAAAGTCACCATCCAGAGTCATTGGAATAAAGCAGAGGCCAATTTACAGCTGTATGCCATAAATTACAAGATTCTTGGGTTTCTGTCTTTTCTTTTTTTTCCAAAGATTTTCAAAACACAAATAAGACCAGATCCACTCTTGTTATATTCAGGCTTCAGAATACTTCAGAATACTGCAAAAACTTACAGAACTTCTACCCAGCTTTGTGTGTGTGTGTGTGTGTGTGTGTGTGTGTGTGTGTGCTTATATTGCTGTGGCTGTTTTTCTTTGCTGTGGGTGTTGCTACTTGCTTGTAGTTAAATTGAAGCAATGTGTCCATTCGACGACCTGTAGTGCAAAGTGTGCTTATGCTTCACAGTAGAAATATCTGAAACGAAAGTCATTGAAATAGAACAATTAATAGTTTCTTTTAGGCTGGATTTGCAGGACTAGGGGGCTGGGAGACTGGATGAATAAGAAGATGACTTTAGAAGTGGAATTATACATTATAAATTCCACTGACACCGCTAAAAAGTATGGGATTAGACACATGAATCACCAAGTACAAGAATTTGCTGGCCTACACATACTACAGTGTGTGGACACATTACTACAGTGTGTTGCCTATATGCTCAACACTGTAGCTGCACCAACACAAACATGCTGGACAGAACAAAAACCTGGCTTGTTCCACTTGGGTGTTCTTGACATGAAAAGTAGAAACACAGTAAAGTCAATGAGGGTGTCACACTGCGGTGAAGGGCGCGTGGAGGGAGGTGTGTGTAGTAGCCTAATTGGTTATCTGATGCAATCTTGGTGTAACCCCACTACTCACTAGTATCACTCCGCACAGTGAGAATCCTGCACCATTTCCACACAGGACCTCTGTTGACCTACATGTGAGAGACTCCATGACTATGAAGAGTAAAAATAAATGTGACTATACCGTACAAAGGCTAACTATTTCTTACAGGGATATCAAGCACCGTTCGCTTTTATTCCTGTTAACTGGAAACACGATTTATTTTTCTGTGAATTGGTTCAAAATGTCCGTAAATGACGAAGAATCGTATAGAATATAATTCCTTTTTCACTTAAATCCGTCTACTCACCCATACACGTAATATTTCATATTGAAAACGGATAATAAAAAACTCTGACAGACACCATTTGGGCAAGTAGCGTTAAGATAGCCTGATAGAAATTAATTTCCTGATGGTGCAGTTTCAAAATCAAAGTCTAGCTTGAGAACACATATTGGAGACTTTTATTTTTGTAAAATTCAGACTCTTCACTTCCTGTTATGCACCTGCTAACCTGACGCAATTCCGAGGACCCTCCCACCTCAGCATATAACAACAGCGCCCTCTGGCGGTCGGCCCCGGAAGAACCAACATGTCGGCTCAGACTGGTCCTGATGCTGCAGGGATGCAGAGAGCAGCGTTATGAGAAGATGTGAAGTATGTAAACCGTGCCAGTCCTAGGTTATTCTGGCGCAGTCTCTGTGGCGCAATGGAATAGCGCGCTGGACTTCTAATCCAGAGGCTCCGGGTTCGAGTCCCGGCAGAGATGAGTCACTCTGTGTGCCGCACGGCAGACTTGCGAATGTTTTTATCATACGGACACAGTAATGATGTTTTGGTAGCAGGCTAAAACGATGAAATAGCCGCATTAATGTAGCTATAATGTGAGCTACAGTGAAGAGAATGAAATACAACTCCATCACCGTTCTTCTTTGAATAGTGTGTTCTTTTCTGCTATACTCAAACTAATAGTAGCCTAACAAAAAAAAAAAAACAATCTTGAGTATAGATTTTATTTAAAAATGTCGGTTCAGACTGAATAGAGTTACTCATGTGAGCATCAAATAAGAAATATAAATTTTAACCTACATTTTTTCCTTTATTTTGCCTGTTGTCTGACTTTATACCCCATGTTCAGTATTTTCAGCTACATCTGTTTTAACAGGGGTGACATGGATTAAAAGCAGCTCCAATGATTTTTGAAAATGATATCTTGTACAAAACCCTTAAAGATGACGGTGTGGTAGATGCATTTTCATTTGTGAACATAATTTCACAGAGTAGCTACAATTTTGGGCTTCAGCTTAGAAAATAACCACTAAACGTGTCAAATTATTAAAAATGTATTTTTCCTTATTTCCCTTAAAATATTCTGTACAGTAGATTATTAATGACACATTAACATATGAATTATTACTATATTTTATGTATTCACAGCTCCTCGCAAAGGTTCCTGTCAGCCAGTAAAGATGGACAAAGACCGTATACGTTTGTTAATAACAAGGTGAGTGTGTCATAGGCCTATTGTAATGGCTTACATCTGAATCCTGCCAAGCCAGCGAAATGTGCGTGAGTGCGTGCGTGCGAGAGTGCGCGCGCGCGAGCGCAGATATTTTGGGATCCTTGCTCCAGTTGTGCTGGGAGCACATGCGGGGTCACTCTTCGTCGAAGACACAGGGGGGCGCTCCAGCATCTCTGTAAAATCACTCTCTCCTCCCGGTCTGTCTGAGACGGGAGGAACCGGCTCACTGTGGAGACCTGCTGAGCTGTGACACCCACAGTTTCGCAGGGAACCGTCCCCTAAAATCGGTAGCCTATATTATGTTACAGGAATTAGGATGTGCTGTGTTTATTCGTCAGTCGTTCGGGCTGTTTTATTATGGTGACATCACTGCTTTATCCTACTAAATAGCCAATATTATTTTAGGGAGTGATGTAAATACTCCTGCATTGTTTATTTATTCTATGGGCCCAACTCCTTTACTGACAGAACACAGCATCTCCTCTAATTGTGATTTTTTTTAAAATATAGAGCTCAGTGTGACACAATATCACCTTGGAATTATGTGTAATATCAGTCTAAATTTACTGCATGTTCTGTATTTACATTTGATGTACATGTTCAAACATTTCCCATGATATTCTTATAGATATCTCTATGTTTACAATGTACCCTGCATATGAATTATGAAATGAGGTGGATATAGGCTTAGAGGTGAGTTAAGGTAGGCCTGTCTAAAATTACTTCATTACCTAATGCCACACTGTGAAAAGCAGAAACCAAGCAGTCTCTGCTACAGCAAATGTGTCAAAATGATTATGCCTCTCTAAGCTGGTTTATTATTATTTTTTTATTTCATAATGTATTTTTTTGCCGGTGGTGGACTGTGCAAGATCCAGAGGGAGAGAAAAAAGGGGGCAGTGCTGTGGTGATGCTGACGTGAGAGAGAGAGAGAAAGAGAGAGAGAGAGAGAGAGGAATGCGCCGCTAATGAGAATATGACGTCAAGTCAGAGAGATTACAGCAAGCACCGGAAGTAGAACGTGATCACTTTGGGTGAAATTTTATTTTATATTATTTGTAAGAGAGGCGTCAAAAATAGCTTTATTATTGTTTGAAGGAGAAATGGCAAAGCAATAAGTAGCTAATACAGATAAAGGTTTTAAAATTATATATTAGGGTATAATTAATTCAATTTAATTAGAAATTAAATAAATCATTCTTTAGCTGAGTTCTACCAGAATGCACATTCTCTAAAAAGATGTATTCCTTAACGCCTCCAAAACAAACAAAAAAAAAATTAGAAAGAGGATGAGGATGAAGAAAATATACTTTATTCTTATAGAAAATATAAATTCATTATGAAAATAGCACTAAGAAGACAATCTGTGATCCTGTCAATAGTTACTACAGTGTTTTGTTAAATGGCTTACATCACATAGGCTAGGTTTGGGTGCCAAGCAAAAGTACAAAACACTGTGAATGTAAGAACAAACGTATTTATGAAATTGAAAGCCTACTACATGTATTTATTATGTATTATTGACAGATTTTATTTACACAGATGAAACATATCTCCATCAGTGTAATCACATTCTTTCATGTGGATTTTACTTTGAATATCACGACCGGAAGTTTGCGCTGTGTCATTACCGCTCGCTTACCGCCTCGGTGTAGAGTAGAAAACGGACTGTCGCTGGAGAGCAAAGAAGAGGAGAGAGGTGAAAAAAGCAGTGAAATGGTGTAAAAGCCGAGCGCGTCCAGCACGAATCAAGGGACCAGCGAGGAGGAGCGACGCAGGAGGATTATTGTCGTTTGTATAATTATTGTTAAAGTCAGTAAACTCCCGCTTTTTGATGCTGTCCTCACGGAGGTCTGAGCCAATAACGGACTTATTGGTCGGCTGAACCATGCAGAGGCTGCTGCTCCTGAGTTTGGTGTTGAGTTTTCAAACTGGTAAGACTGAATTTCTCTCTTTTTAAGCGCATCACTAACAGCGAGTATGGTTCAGATAAAAAATTCTGTGAAGCCACAGAGGCTTTAAAAAACAATCACAGCCCTCCGTCGGTGATCTTTGAGAAGTGTGTGTGTGTGTGTGTGTGTCTATGTGTGTGTGTGTCTATGTGTGTGTGTGTCTATCGTGTGTGTGTGTGTTTGTGTGTGTGTGCGTGTGTTGTGGAGAGGAAAAAGAGAAAGACATATAACATGATTGAATAGCATTCCCATATGAACCGCAGCGGTGGATCACCTTAGGCGTATGTGTGCGCGTGCGCGTGCAGCTGCGTGAGAGAGAGAGAGAGAGGGAGCGCGCGCGTGTGTGTGTGACTGCGTGTCCGCACCGCAGCAATGGATCACCACACTTTTTTTTTTTTTTTCTAATTATGATCATTGTCGTCTGTACGCTTGCGAATACAGGCGGTCGATTGTGCACGTGCGTGCGTGCATCCAACTTGAACATGAGCGGTTGCACGCGCGTCCACCACCGGCCTAAATGACCTTTTGCATATGACAAACCCACCGGTGCCGTTATTCAAACGGGCCGTGGTGAGGCGCTGAGGACGTGACGGGAATGACAGTGATTGACCAGCGCTGCTCTACATGCCAGCAGCACTTCCACACTGCTATCGCGTCTGAATGGCTTGTCAGTCAATGAGCCCACTGCTACCAGCCCCTGTAGTGATCCTGTAGTGAAAGGCAGCTTCTCTCCCCAAGCCCCCCCCCCCCCCCCCCTCACACACACACACACACACACACACACACACACACACACACACACACACACACACACACACACACACCCCTCTTGTGCTCCTATCCTGCTGTCCTACCTGAGTGCTTGACCATTTTAACCCTCTCTGTTGCATTTCAACAGCACAATGAGGCTGTGCAGCAGCAGCAGCAGCAGCGCCCATGCATCTGTTCCCCCTCCATACCTGTGGGGTGCCAGGTAGACTGTTGGCTTATGATAATCACAGCTGTAGCCGAGTTGCTAGGAGACAGGAGGCTGAAGGAGGAGGAGGAGAGGATGGTTGTAATTTCTCTAAGCTACCTGTTTGATCGAGGCATATCTGTGTGTCGTCGTGGCGGCACAGCCATAGCAGACCTCCCCTCTTTTTTTTTTTTTTTTTACACACGCACACACATATATACACACACACACACACACACACACACACACACCCTCATTGTCTACCATGGGTGACCGGGAGCGTGCACGGCTGGCTGCTGGCTTGCCAGTCGACCACTTCATCATAGGTAGGGGGCGTGTTCGGGGAAGCGAAGGTATAGAAAAGGATGATGTCACCGTGTCTGCCAGGCTTTGTATCGCTCAGCCTGGCTCACCATGCTCAGCATCCACCCAAAGTGTGTTGCTGGGGGTGGGGGGTGTCACGCAAGCACATCTACATACAGTCAAGAGCACATTTATCCTTTTCATCCACATATCGGGCGCTCCACGAATCCACATGTGACACAATCTGGCAACCGTCGCAACACACAAACACACGCACAGCCCCTGCTCTTTCTCCATCGGGACCCCTTGTTTCTGTCACATGCTGTTGCCCTGTTTGTCCACTCATAAACCGTTCATGACACACGCACCTACATAAGCACACACACACACACACACACACACACACACACACACACACAGACCAATTACATGTGTGAAGCCATGTGTCCCATTGTCTGTTGTTGCACTGTAGCAACGGTATAATCCATTGTTACTCCATGTTGGGCTCTCAAACACAAACATATTTGCTTCCAAAGGCTTTCCCGAAGACAAGATTAGCAGGCTGTAAGATTTTAAATTGCTGTAATAGATGTAAGGTCTCAAATCATCCACTGTGGCTTTTGCGTTGGGCTATGAAAACATAAGAGGAATAGGCATAATCCAGAGAGAGCAAGAGTGAAAATTAACCTCAAAAGAGATAAAAAACTTACTGTAGGTGCAGGCGCATTTTTCCAAGGAGCACGCAGACCCTTATCTCTTTATTAGACTAGTAAAACAGTATTCCATGGCCTGCAATTTGCACACATGTAATTGCCTACCAGTGCTAATGATTGCATGGTTATTAGTCGAGCAGCTAATTAAAGCTGTGGTGAATCAGAATGTTTTTAAGTTATTTAGATTAAATGATACAGCTGCAACTAGGACAAAGTCTCTACTAGCAACACCACTGTGATTGATTTAGTATCCCGGCCTTGTATCTACATACCAACCTGGTAATAAGTCCCAAGCAAGCGCCACCATTAACGCAGCTGTTAAATGTTCCTGCATAATCAATCATTGCAAACACACTCCCTTAACTTCCTAATGAGCAGCAGAGCCCTGAGGTCGGACTTGCGGCACTGCACCTACAGGCCAGACGGTGGTGTGAAATGCTGACTCGGACAAAGGCTCCAGTGCAGGTGTACCATTTGTCAGCCTCTGTCCTTTTGTGTGGACCGAGGCCATGAGCTGCCGCTGCCGCTGCTGCCCTTACTGTACGCTCTGAATCACAGCGAGCCAGCCGTGATTCATAGACCTCAGACGGATTCCTGAGTTGTGCTCGGCAAAAGGAAATATTCAGACGCTGGAGGAGTCAGACACATTCGGGGGGCTTTTACACCCAGAGAAAGAAGGGTTCCTCAAGGGTTGTTTGATCAGGGAAGTAGTGGTTCTACTACTATATGTGTAATGTTAATGACTCAAAGTCGACTGTAACAGTTCAAATAAAGATGAAGAATTAGGGAAGCCTCATAAAGAATCCAGTTTGGTACTAAAACACTCTGTTAAAACTGTCGATTTACAGCATTTCCTGCGTTCTTGCCTGTAATCATCTGTGACATTTTCATCTAAATGAATCCCAATTTTTCCTATCTAAGTCATGTACAGTGACTCTTTTCCATTTGCTGAGGTGGGGGAAAAAAAAACAATCCTCTATCACACAGCAAGTGATTTCTTCTTTTGTTCTCACAATAAATAAAAGAAGAACTGAGCAGTTAGCTCGAGCTAATCCCACATAGCCAATCCTCTGTCTCATTAAGCTCATGCAGATCTGGAGTGTAACCTCTAAAGTTCATTACAAGAGGGATGTGGACACAGTTGGCTATAATAACCACTAAAAGTGCTTGTTTCTGCTTGGAGAGATGATGTATGAGCAGTAGTAGCTGATAGAGAAAAAAGTGCCACCTACATAAACTCAAACTTGTAAGGATACTCCAACGGATTACTGCTTATAGAACTATTTATAGCAACGTGAAAGCGTTCCGCCATGGTTTCAAGGCTAACGAACCATTTTTGCGGTGCTATACTGAACCCTCTGTGGCTCAGAGTGTAGATCTGGAGTGACATATGTAGCGAGGCAGAAGTCTGTTTTTAATTTTGATCCCGGCGAGCGAGATGTGACTCCAGTAGGAGCATCCTACCGTTAATATGCGAATTCGGGTCATGGTTTTTTACGGGATCTGAATGAAGCCTATTTACCGAAAAGCATCTCTAATTGACATCAGCCACTGAAAGCAATCACTGAACCAGCTGTAAAGCTCAATCTGGGAATGGAGCCCATAATGTTATAATGTACATCCACGCCTGTTGTTCCCCCATTGGGTTCCATTCAATCAACAAATTCTTGGCATTTCTGTCCCGGCGGGTGTTTGTCAACGTGTGACATGTTGATTGCTTCTCTCAGTTGATATGTTTGTTTAAGGGCATTCCTCTGGACACGAGTGTCCTATAATGCTTTTTGAAGTGGTGCTTGGGAGAACAAAGAGGCTTGCATGCATGCTCTCAGATGATCCAGTAAAAAAAAAAAAAAAAAAAAAAAAGACCCTGATAGAAGTACAGAAGTATTTAGTTGGATAATTCGTTAGCAAACTTGTGGTCAGAGATAAATTAAATCAAAAGTATACAAGTGTTTCCTTTGAGCATCTTCAACAGCTATGCTGTGAATGTTTCTCAAGTGAAGCCCCAGGATTTAAAGGCCCCATAATCTGATTGTGCTTGACAGGCCGGGGGCATCCAAGTTATAAAAAGAAAAATGAAAAAAAAAAAACATCCCCTTAAAAATGTTTCTTTATGCAGAGTCCCCTGAGCAAGAGAGGAACACTTTATCACATCTGACTGAATCTATTGGCCTTGTTTTCCCAAATTGCGCGGCCACATTTTTGCAGCGAGGACCAATTTGGGGGTGATGGAGAGAGTTGGAGTGGGGGGGGGGGGGGGGCAGGTTACAGAAAAAGTTGTTTGGAGAGGAGAGGTTGGCAAGGGGCCGGGGGCAAAAGGGGGTAGTTCTCGTGGGCAGGTGGGTGGAAGCCTGATCGAGATTGATTCGACTTTTTTTATGTTTTGTTTTGTTTTGTTTTGGGTTTGTTTTTAGAGGTGGTGATGTTGTGGGTGGGTGGAAATGGGGGGGGGGGGGGGGGGGCGAGTATTTGTAGGTGCGAGGAGGAGGGTGCGCTGGATGAAAAGAAAAAGCGAGCCCGGAGAGGGGAGAAGAGAGAGGGACGAGGGACGGAGGAGGAGGAGGAGGAGGAGGAGGAGGAGGGAGGAGTGGTCGGGAGGCCAGCGGCGGAGAGAAAGGGACTATTACTCAGGCTTGGCTGCTCCCTCAGTGGGGACAGTGAAGCTGCTCATTCAGACAGAATATGGTCGAGGCCGGTTCAAAGGCTACATTTGCGCTGGAATCGGGAGTGATTGAACCCACATCTGAGGTGCCAGCTGAGCTCTTCCCCTGCCCCGTCCCCGCTGAGGTTAATTGGCATTAATCGGAGTTGCTGTTAACTTTCTTTTTCGTCTCTTTGGCTCTCTCTCGCAACATGAGCCTCTTTCTGCTTACCAAAGTTCATTCCTTCTCTCTTTCTGTCCCCTCCTGGACTTTTTCTTTTTTTTTTTTAATCTGACTTTTTTTTTCCCTTCTTCTTCTTCTTCTCCTCCTCCCCCCACCATTACTTTTCCGTCTCTTTCCATCTACCCC